GGATTTTTCATTTTCTTGTACACAGGTGGGCCAAAAGTGGACAAACCAAATTTCCGAATTTCAACGCGCAGAAAATCAGAAAGAGCGTTTTCGACCAAACCAAATTTCCGAATTTCTGCTAGCAGAAAATCTGAAATTGCGTTTACGTCCAAATCAAATTTCCAAATGTCGACTAGCAGAAAATTGGAAATTGCATTTATGACCAAAGCAAATTTCCGAAATTGCTGCTAGCAGAAATTCGGAAATTGTGTTTATGACCAAAGCAAATTTCCAAATCTCTACTAGCAGAGAATTAGAAATTGCGTTTTATGACCATGGCAAATTTCCCAAGTTCTAATAACCGAAAAATGAACGTTTGATACCATAAACCAAATTTCATTTGTTTGTACTAGTAGAAAATCAAGGTGGAGATTTTTTTTTGGCTACTCCATAAGTCGTTTGGGATAAGAAACCCTCATCTGAGTCCAGCCGGTCGATTGATTGTGTATGTACCAAAACGTAATTGTGTTTGATGATCTAGCCAACCAAAGTCGGAATGACATAAAAGCTTCTATTTTATAAGCAAACGCTAAGGGCGGATCCAAAACATCTTTTTTTTTTTTTTTTTTGTGTTTTGTTTTTTTTTGGGGGGGGGTGGTGGGGGGGGCCAAGAAAAAAATGTAGAGCCCCAAAAAGTGCGTCCCAATAGAAATTGATAAGGGCTTGGGGTTCCTAGCCCGCTTAACGGCCCCGAAACATTTTTTGGATTCTAGATGCTCTGTGGTGCGATCTGATCACTTTAACAAAATCTTTTTGAGGAAATGATGGTGATGTGCGCAATGACTGCCTGTATTGCAACGTCACTTAAAACAAAATCAAAATTGGGCTCGTTTTTTTTTTTCTTGGGGGAGGGGGCAGGGGGGCCATGGCCCCCGTTGGCCCCCCTGGATCCGCCCTTGGCCGACGCCAACTTGTTTTTTTAATTAGAATTGTAGCCTATATGTGGCGACTAACCAAACTTCAGCCGCGTTCGCTCTGTACTTTTTTTAAGGAGACTGAAAACAAACCCCTAGTTTGCTCAAGGTTTATACAAAATCATTAGTCAAGTTCCTCCCCTATCGTTTTTAACTATTAAATTTCTTTAAGGCCTATGATTAAACAAAAGAAGGGTGGGCATTTGTCATTGTTTAAAAAACACCAAAATTCTGCTGATGAGGGTTTCTTACCCCAAACGACTTATGAAGTAGCCAAAAATAATCTCCCCCTTGATTTTCTACTAGTACAAACAAATGAAATTTGGTCCATTTTTCTGCTAGTGGAAATTCTGAAATTTGGTTTGGTCGTAAACGTAATTTCCGATTTCTGCTAGTAGAAATTCAGAAATTTAGTTTGGTCCTAAACGATCTTTCTGATTTTCTGCGCGTTGAAATTCAGAAATTTAGTTTGTCCCCTTTCGGACCGCCTGTGTACAAGAAAATAAAATATCAAAATTTTTGATAATAGAAAAATGAAAATTCGGAAAGAGGACTTCATTTCAACTATAAATCTGTTTTTGTTCCAGCGGATTTTTGAGAAAATGGGTTGTCCACTTTTGGTCCTCCATACCTACCTACAAAAAAAGATTGATGTTTCGGCGCAATAGAGATTGACCCCTGCCTGGTGGCGCGCTTCTGGACCCCTCGAATAGAAAAATTCAGCGTGTAAAAGTCGGAGTTTTTCAATTGATTTTGGGTAATTGATTTCTTAAGAGATCCCCCTTTGTAAAATTCCTTTGCAAATTGTTAATACTAGCATCTCAATTTATGGAAACTGAAAAACTGCATGACAAATTGACAATTGACCTCTAACTTCCGAAAATTTCAAATACATGAGGACTGGTACAACTCGGAGCACTCGTACAAAGATGAAAATGTATGAAATTTTTTTGAGGCAGCCATTGGGTATAAACTGAAATTTACATAGTGGACTAAAATGTCTTTTGGGACACACATTGAAAAATTAATTTGAAGGACTAATTCTTATTTACAAACAAATCTAAAATGACCGTTGATAAGAACATTGTATTCAAGCATGATTTAAACAAGCCAGACTAAATCTAGAATCCATCGGATGTAGTTAGGTAAATCTTCGCGTTGTTATCATCTTTGCTGTCAGGCAAGTATGCGATGTGACTGAATACAACGAGATCGAAATTCGAACAATAAACCTATACAACGTCAAAAAATTCGGATTTAAGGTAGTAAGTAAAACTCGTTTTTACCCATATCCAACTGATTTCTTATCATTTTTTTTTCTTGTGGAATGCCAAGATAAAATTCCAACATGAAGGTTTCTCGGGGGTGATTACGGTTAGAAATCGTTCTGTCAAAAATATATAGCGAAACCCGTGTGAAATCCCCATAGAAAGGTCGCGGAGGGGTCCGGAAGCTCACAGACAAATTGCAAAGACCTGTCACCATATAATGAGCTTACAATCAGAAATTGCCATTTTGCAGCACAGTTGTGGGGCAAAGCTTCTTGTTTCCATGGAAACCTTGATTTGTAAGTTATCTTTCTACACTTTTGTTGTTCTGTCAAACATCTTAAAAAATATGTACATCCTGTTTATTAAATGAGTGTTCATTCATTGTAGTACAAAAGCAGGATTTTCAAAAATGTAATTGTCTCGAAAAATTAGGTTACAACTATAATTATGCCCACCAAAAAATAATTAGGCATAGTTGCTAGGCAAAGTTCGCCCTCTGTTGGTCACGCATGGAGCTTATACCTCAAGCCCAGAGAGCTAAAGCCAGAGTTAGATTCACCTTTTTACGCATCTTTTATAGCTCTGAACTGGCGCGCTCAGCCACCTTCACTGTCTTGTTCAGAAGGTGTAAATCCAAAACCGATGTGGCATCGCGCATGGCTTAAGTCACGTCTCGACGAACCTATTTTGTCACTTTGGACCTAGGTGGACTCGAAGGGTATTTTTTTGTTTTGGCCTTGGACTCGGACCAACTTAACTAACCAAAACACATGCATTACCAGATGTGTTTTGTGTGAACTGTTCCTTGCTCTATGGTGAAATAATGACATCAAGACGAAAGCTGATTTCCATAGACTTCCCTGCAGCCAAATGTTTCCCTAAAATATAGTCAGTTTACACTTGGTCTAGCCATGGAGCTATAGCTCCATGGTCCAGCCGCACGTGAATCCAATTTAGACTGAGACGACGGTGTAATAGAAGAAATATGATACCAAGATCTCTCCCAGTTCGCCTTGAACAACTTCTTCAAAGTAAAAACATGTATATTCATTCTGTTCGCGGGCCTGCTAAACACGTTTATAATTCTACCGTAAATCAAATTTCGAAAGAATCGCCGGGGAAAACCATCCATTCAAAATGTCATGTCTGAAACATTAGACGTCCTTATATGTCCCATTGAGAGAAGCGACGAGTTACCCTAGTTCGAGGGCTACGAATGTTTGTTTTCTACTCCAAGTGCGACTTGCATGGTTTTCCATGATCCAGTGACTGTCAAGCGTACGTAAAGGGCAACAATAGGGACAATGGTACCATGCAAGTCTGTCTTTAGAAATTGATGTACCCCATAGCCGTAACGCTATGTATTTTGATATTCCAAGGGGAAAAGGAGACACAAAAGAAAGGAACTAGGGTCGAACAAAAGTGGTACCCCATAACCCCTATAGTATTTTATATAAGGGATATCAAGTCCGAATTTCAGCCCAGGAATTTAATTTTGGTTAAAATTGCATTTTGAAACTAGATTTTCACATTCACAAATTGTAGTACTGTTCTGGATCGTCCGTCCGGTTTTCTTCAATAGCGCCCTCTGTTTATCATTTCATATAGCCAGTTTTTCTTACACGTGTTCGTAACGTTTGTTGACAAAGTTATACACGTTTCCGCATGTTGCTACTCATTTATTGTCACCTGATCAACTGTCATCCCTGTAGTCACCTGTGAAAGCATTGTCTGTAAGTTTACGTCATTTTCTCTTGCATTATGCAAATAAATGAGAGGTATTTTAGGCCTATTTTTGGACTCAGATTTTATGTAAACAAACACGTTGATGTCGCTCGGCCATATCGTAACGCGTGCTGTTACTGCTTGGTATTATGTTTGATTCAAAGGATCGATACAATTATTGACATATATTTACACTCCTTTTATTAATTATTGCATGTTTTGAGATTTAACTCCAAAAGGGCCGGGTTATTTTGACCATCTCACAGCCGGGGAGCGGATTCCACCCCCTAAGGTCTGGTAATTCTGGTAATGGTAATTCTGCTTTGTGTACACTACGTATATGGGAAAATTCAGTTTTCACCGGAAAATGTTTCTACGTCTTGTTACACAGTTTCACTCCTGTTTCACCTGACGATTAAACTTGGAGCTTGGACGCTACTTCCTGCCTCCCTTGTCGTTCTTTGATATGTGTTTGGCTGCCTGCTAATTTTGGTTCGATACACCTTCGGGACAGTACAAGTACACGAGAACAAAGACATTACTCCACAAGCATACAAATTCCAGTATTGTGTGTAACGACAACCGTGTACATGTACAACGCGAACGCTTATCGGGCTTTCCATGGCATTGTTAACATCGCTAACTAGTTTGGTACGTAAATAACCTAAAAGTGGATTTCCGTTCTCGTATGGGCTCCGTGCGCCAACAACAAAAGCAACGACGTCCCATGGGAAGGGACACATGCATTTCGCTGGTTGACGCGCACGCAACATTCCTTGAGTGTGACGCACGTACACCAAGGGATTTGTACTATGTACACGCAGTGGCAGCGCTTCGTGGCAAAATATTGCAGTGAGGCAAGATGGCGTCGTTCGGTCACCCCCAACTGTACTTTCTTTGCAGGTGAGGGGGTACTTGTGAACGGAGCGGATAGGAGGGGCCCTACTACATCGTTGCCGATACTAACACATGCTGCAGAAATAAACATCTGAAAACCGCAACTTGTACGAAGAAACGAGAAACACATTAGTCTGTTGTATATCTGCTTTTATTTACATTACAATCAAATAGACGGCTTTCATAATAATAGTGTCATTGAAAGCAACAGTGGAAGAATGTGCTCACGAGAGGGCGCACACCCAAACACAGTCATACACTAGGGTTTGGTTGCAATTTGGGGGCGGGGAAGAGGGTTTACTAGACAAGCTGCACCACCTCGGTGTTTTACTTTAGTGCGGTATCCCCATCCTTGCTAGCCAGGGTATAGTGTTACACTCGTACGTCGTAAGACCCTGGCAAACGGAGTCTACAATGGTGGATCCTTGGGCCAGGGGGCACCGTGGGTGCTGAAGGCCCCCACGTACCCTTGTGAGACTCAAGGGTTTGCATGCTAACCTCCCGTTCTTTGAGTTATTGTGTATACTTCAATGTTCTGTTGTTGTCATTAGGCCTATAACCTCTTGTAAATAATTATAATGCTTTGTTAATAAAGTGTATTGTAAATAAATATGTGAAATATACAGTAGCATCATGCATTACAATAGTGTGCTTTTGCGAAGACATTGTAGGCCTAATGCTCTTTAACGTACCAATGTTGTTCACAACACGAAAAACCGTTTCACAAGGCGTTATATAAAATAACAAGCTGAACCTTAACTCACAAATTGAAACGATCCGTTATGACAGATGAAGATAACTAATTTATACACAATTACTCTTTCCGTACGTTTGACGTTAAAACCACAATTATACTGACAGAACACGTAAGTCTGCATTGCTAATTTTACAGCAAATATTGTAAAGTATTGACAAGCTTCTTTGTAAAAATGACAATTTCTGTTAAATGACCCGATGATGTTTTCATTTATTCGTGAATGCTAGAATCCTCAGTGCACGGCGTGACCAGAAGGAGCTTCTGCAGAAACAGTGTCATGTGATCTGAGAATAGAAAGCGAATCATAATCTTATCAGGACCAATGGGAGAAGAGGTATAACAAGGAATGAATAAAAAAGTGTCATGATAAAAACGTAATTATTTGGTCAAACTGTAAAATTAAGAGTATTTGATATAGTATTTAAAAATAAATAAATGACATGGTTCTAAGAATTTTCGACAATACATATTCAATGCTAAAATGTTATTTATGTTTATATTGTTTCGAAGCCACATAATCAGCATTTCTTACCCATGAATGGTAGCTGTCTTTTCTTCCAGACGAACACGAGGTAGACCACAAGACCTATGGCCAGTACTACCAGGGCGTACAGGTACTCCCAGGAGGGATCGGAAATTAATGGCGCCAGAACCATGAAGATTGAAGCAAGTGTGGCAAGAATGGAAACCAGAATGTTGACCTTGAAAGTAATGACCGAGATGATAAATATAGCCATTCTTAGGTTCATGACATTGGAAGGCTTAGCTGTAGAGGTTTAATATCTGTTCTGCAACCCCACATTTTTTTCTCTTCCCAAAAAATGGAAGTCAAAAATCTCTATCACATTTGTCTCATTTGAAAAAAATATTAACTTGAAAATCCCATTTCTGACACCAAACCTTAGATGTATATAATTATGAGTTAAAGATACGATAATTATGAGAGCACTTGCTTTGAATGGACTGGGTTTATCCGGGAACTTGAATCGCAGCACGATGAGAGACGTGAAAGCAGCAAGGTGGAAAATCCACGCCACGAACCCATTAAAGACAATGATGGAATCGAAGTCTCCTAGGAGTATGAATATAATCACCAAGATGCCCTGTGGGAAATGATTGATGTGTGTTACAAAAAGGGATGGGTAATGAAATTATAGCCTACGAAATGATCCGGAGATTGTTCTGCCAAACAATTTCCTGCAGTACTATCCTATATAAAAAGGACCTACGATGTCTGTCTGTTGTCTGTCTGTTGTTGTCTGATGTCTGTGTGTCACGTGTTTTGTGTGTGTAAAATGCCTATATAAGACGTGTGTGGAAACACAAAACGCAAGGGTTTAGGAAGAGACTTCGCTATCATAAAGCGCCATGGTTGTATATATTCCCCGATTTCACTGTCTTAACCTCTGAAGTCAAGCCTCGCACGTGAAAAAAAACAACGATTTGTTTCATTCTGCTTTTTTGTGCAAATTTGTTTCTTACAGACTTTGAATAGTTTAATATACTACGACATTATCTATATGAAAAATATTCCACAATGTATCGCTGTTAGGCAAAACATACAACGTTGATGATGAAAAATGTGCCAAAATGACCTTTTAACCGTCAATCGTACGAATTCGTACAATATGAATATGCATTTCGAAACCGGACAAAAAAATTACGTCAATTGAGGGCGCACTGATCATTTGGTGAGACACCCAGCTAAGCATCCCGCTGGTAAATTATTACTTAGGCGTATTTGATTCAAGTCTTATACTATTTATGCCACGTAAATCATTTGCAATTACTCGGAAAAGTATCTACCATTTGATAGAAACCTAGCTCACAGTGAAGATAGGACAAATACTATGTGAGATTATTCCGCCGGAAATGGTATCGTTTGGAAGTAAAACTGAAATCGGAGGTTGTTTCAATATAGCGTGCCCGCCGCACACCTTTTTTACGTTCGTTAGCAACTAAATCCAGTTGCAAGATCCCAGAAGATGCGAATAAGAGTTATCTGTTTCCTCATTAATGTAGGTCTATAGTGCCTACTTATTTCTAACTTCTTCATGCGGATGAAAAATGCACACTGTGACATGATACACCTCTAATACTGTAGCTACAGAGGTTTTTTTCACGCTCGTTTGATTGACACTCAGAAAGTAAAAGGTTAACAAATATACCATGAAACTTTACTGAAACTGGGGAGCTAGTAAAACTACTCACCTTAAGAATAACTGCAGGTAGTGGGGTCAGTAGCTTCACATTTATCATGGACAGAACCTTCAACATATGACCTTCCCTTCCAGCAGCATATGTTATTCTGAATGAAACGTATTGGAGGAATGGGATGAAGATCTTCAACTCTAACTTCAAAACCTTCTTGGGGGCCGGGAAGAAAGAGTTTCAGGACAGTCATGCATAACTAAGTAAAGTGCCGACGGTTTTATCGTATAAACATTCCGTTTTCTTACATTGTTTAGGATAGTCTTGTAAAGAGTATAACGCCTCTCTGAATACACGATGAGTCAAAGAAAGCGGAACCCAACCCCCCCCCCCCAAAAAAAATCATTTTAAAAAGAAACATGTAGTACTAAAAACAATGACTGGAAAGCCAATTTCATGAGCTACTTTAATGTGAACAAATTACTGAAATTGCTCAATCCGTTCAAAACAATATCACCATTTAATTGCAATTGCATGACCTGTTTCGTCCAAACAAAAAGTGTGTATTCTGACTATTTGGAACAACAAAGAAAATGACACAGAATACTACTGTCAACAACTGTAGTACACAATATCTTTTTAACAACCCTGATTAGGCCAACAATATGATTTATAAAATACACCTTTTTTTTAAAGACGGGCCTTCCAAAAGGACTTTGTTGAATATTTTTAACTTTAAAACTGAGGTTTTATCGCTGGTGATGTATGAACACAATTGTGACGACGAGTCTTGAAATCGTATGTTTTTGTCGAAATGGTTATATTCTTTGAACGGATTAAGCAATTTCAGTAATTTGTTCATCTTAAAGTAGCTTATGAAATTGGCTTTCCGGTCATTATTATTTTTGGTGCTACATATTTTTTTTTAAATATGAAAAAGTATTTTTATGGTTTGGGTTCCACTTTTTTGACTCACCCTGTAAGAGAATGTGCTGTAGTACCTTGAAGATGCAAGGAAACCTCCAAGGATATTACCAGCTGTAGATATACATACTCCTACAGGAATGACCCATGACATGGGTCCCAAGGTTCGCTCTGCAAAACTCTACAACAAAGAAAAAGGTGCAAAATGTAATGTTCACACAAAAATGCATATAGGTCTATATAATTTAAAACGTATCGGAGACACGGTTTACACCCGCTGTCAGATCTGAGGACGGTTTATTCCGAAACGTGATTACATGTATGTTGATAAACTTGTTACTCTTTCACAAACTATTAATAATTGTCCCTATCACATTAGAGGCGTCACAGTTAAACTAAGACCGGCAGCTTATGGTACAAAAGAATGCTCTCAAGCATTTTACTTGCTGAGAGCCACTAATGCTATAAACCTACCACTGCCACCGCACTTGATGCCAATACTTCATCTGGTGAGAGTGTAGTGAAGTAAGCGATGTTGGTAAGCAAGTATATGACGACTACGCTGGGCACAGCAATGCAAATGGACAGGGGTAGATTCCTGGAAAGATTGGAGATGACCAGACAATAATTGATGTGAATTAATTTGGTTTCCAAGGCGACAGCATAATTATATGCAATTCCAGCCGACAAAAAAACACCCAAAACCAAACAAACAAATAAACAACCCAACAAGCAAACAAAAACGCAAACACAACAACAAAGAGGACGGTGACCATAGGGTGCATATTATGTACTGGTACAACACAGAACAGGTATATTGGCCCCTACCTTGCGGGATTCTCGATTTCCTCTGAGAGATTGTTGAGAATGTCCCTGTTAATGGGTTAAAATGAAATATGTCATATTGACAGAATGTGCAAACATGATCGTACATCTAACAACAAGTGAGAGACCTTCTCAGCACATGCCATGATAATATATATATCAACAGGCTAAGATAAGCAACAGAACGTCTAACAGAAAGAGGTTCTATGGATAATGTCAGGTCCAGTCCTATAGAACATCACAATAATGACACATGAGGAGCCATCGAGCACAGAGAACTTATGTTAAATCAAGATTAAAGTTATAAAGGCGTAATTGATTCCCGGGACGTAATGGTTTCTATTATATTCACAACATATGTCTACTTACCAACCGCCATAAGCGTAGAAACCATAATACAGCGCAATGCCATATCCCTCAAGATGCGTGTTGGAGCCAGCGAAGGATGTGGAAGGATCTAGATATTGTGTTTGACCTGAAATAGAAATTCACATGTTTACCTTACAAGTGTGGTTAAAAGGTTCACCACGTTCCAGTATAGCAGTGGTCATATTTTACAAAATCGTGTGCTAAGTTGAAGCCACTTGAAATGTCAATGCTACAACAAGTTAAAAAAACATACATCGAAACAGAATCAGGTGGTGTTTTCATACCTTCAAATAGTGGCAAAAACCATGGGCGTCAATCCGGGGGGGGGGGGAGACATGTTCCCCCCCCCCCCCACTTTTTGAAGGGTGGGGGACATAATATCAAATGTACCCCCCCCCCCAGATTTTTGAACTCGTGCCTCATTTTCAGGGCTCTATTATGTACTACAATGCATCTTTTGCTAAGAAAATATTGGTTAAAGTGGTCAGAAATTGAATCATATCGCACCATAGAGCATTTGGTTTATTCTGAAACGAACCCCACGCTGTAGGGGCTTCGCACTTCGCGCTTGCATTATTTCTGATCAAGGTATGTCCCCCCCCCCCCCCCACACACACTTTTGAGAAGCGATTGACACCCCTGGCAAAAACAGTATACCTTTGCATAATTTGAAGATCCCTGTCACAATGATAATAACAAGGGCGATGACCTTTCCACTGGAGAAGACCACAGCCAGTCCACTTGCGTAACGAACACTGATACAGTTGATAAATAACATGAGCACTAAGAAGCAATCAAAATAATTAGACGTTAGTCAGATTACACCAATGGGTCGTTACTTGCATAAAAGTACTCTTCGCTTTTAGTAATCAAGCATCTTTAAGGTGTTTTCACTGATCCTAGGTCATTGCTCCTGTCTCATTGACCGATCGACTCACTAACTGACTCACTGACTAATTGTACTCACTGACTAAATGTAACTTAATAACTTTGCAGAGTTAGTGCAATAGGAATACCCTGCATATAATATAACACCATTGAATGGACAAAATCCGGCAGATTGTGTAGACCAGATAGGCTTAAAAGAAAAGACTTTCATTGAATAATTAGTTTTGAAACTTTGCATGGTGTAGTGTAAACTAATAAAGGTTTTTGGCAACAAACAAACCAGCTCTTTTCAGAACCAACCAGCTCTTTTCAGAACCACATATCTTCCCAAAAGAGATATTCCACATGGTGTCACCGCGAACCTACCCTAGTTTCCATTTAGTAGTCAATCTTAATCAAGTGAATAAAATATGTGCTCTCTGGGATCATTTTAACCAGGAATGCCTTGTCACGTTTGTTATTTCAATTTATTCTGTTACAAGGAATGCCTAAGACATCTACTCGTGCGAGTCATAGTGGAACATTAGTACACTGTACATCTGCGCACCTCAGGGGTTGCTGCAATGTATCAACTCTATCTTCTCCATTAAAACAAAATCAACACAAATCAAGAAGCTAACAAAATCAGAATAGTCCCTAGGGAAAACTGATTTTGAAACAGTGCTTGGTTTGAAACGCAGAATGGTATTATTATTATTAAATCGGTACTCTGAGGTATAAAATAATTTGAGGGTAAGAGTCACTCTCTGACAGGATCCGTGATTCGACCCACTTTTATATCATCTGTTAAATGATTTTCTAAAATAAAACTCACATGTAGTCAGTATCGCAAAGAGCTGGACTGCTTCCCTGGAAGGGCAGTCTCCTGCGATGACGTAATCAGATATATAGGTACCAAGTGTCAAGGCAGCTAGGGCGGTAGAACTCGGACTTAGGATAACGAGGAACCAAGAAACCACGAAGCCAGCTAGATCACCATAGGCGAGTAAGACGTATTGGTAAGTACCGCCGGATTTAGGGACGAATGTGCCTAACTCGGCGTAGCACATTGCCGCTATGTACAGAAAAAAAGAGACTTGTCTTTCAATGACAATGCTCTTAATATTTATCTTGACCTTGACTTTTAATTGTAATAAGGGCATATAGGAGCATTTGCATTTATCCCAAAAGAAACTAACCTTATTATTATCAAAAAGCTTACTAAACGGCCCGCAAAATGATTCCGTCTAGTTTGCTGCCATAGAAGAAATCATCTAGATGATTTTCAAGGATCAGTCAATATTGACTGATTCTTTAAAAGAGAGTTCTACTGACACTTCTAGTTTCGAATTTGCGATCCAAAGGTTGTGCCTGGTTTGTCCCAGTTTTCTCGAAAGTGTTATAGCCACAGAACTGAAACTCCAGTATATAGGTTTGGAATATTCGTCTTTGATAGATAGATATATAGATAGATAGATAGCTAAATGGTCTATTAAATCAGCTTTCTCGCCACCTGTAGCGGAATTGTGTGAAGCTTTAACAATATATATAAAGAATGCATTAATTTAAAAATACCAAAAAGTAATCATTACAATTATACTATTAAGAAATGATAAAGCTAAATTTAAGGACCCCATAATTGATAAAATAGCAAATCAACAATTATTTGTTTAACACATTAAGATGCAGTAAGAAATTGGGTGAGTGGTAAGGGAAAAGGACATATGGTGGGAAGGGAAAGGCTATATTATTCGGGAAGGGAATGGGAATCCACAGTAAAATTTGAAATATAATTTGGGATATTAGGATGAGGAACTTTAAAAATCCAAATTATCCTTTAACATTTAAAAATCTCAGACACCGTGTACAATAAATAAAAATCTCAAAACATGAGCTGCTGTCAAAAGTTATTTTTACCAAAGCACAATTAAGTCATGGAATTAATTAATCGGATTAAGTACGGGATTGCACTATTTCTGAATCTATTTGTTTTGCATCTTGGTTCAGACACTAGTTTGGACCGGCGTAACACTTTACTCGTTTGAGGTTGTGGGATAAGATGCGCCATGTTCTCATTACACATCAAGTTTCTAGCAAATCCAAGGCACAGTGATCTACGACGGTCAGTCAATGTTTCTAATTTAACTGAATAAGTGCACTAATGTAATCATTGTATTCGGCACCTAGAGTTAATTTGAGGACACGCTTTTGTATTTTTTCCAGTTGGTTTTGTTGGTGATTTGAAATTGCACCATTCCAGACAGGAACTGCATGGGGGCGGATGTACCCTTTATAGACAGTAATTAAATCTTCAATTGGCAGACCGTGACCTTTTACGGCACGCAACATGTGAAAACGGCCATTGGCGCGTTGAAGTGTTTGATTAATGTGAGTGTCCCATTTAAGGTGTTGCTGGATGTGTAACCCTAGCAGTTTGAGAGTTTGTGATTGTTCAAGGACGTCATCGTTGATGTAAATAACAGGCGATGCTGGGGGGCTCTTCATGAAATTGATTTCCATAGTGGTGCATTTTGTAGGGTTGTGAGACATATTGCTGTTTTGTGACCACTGAACTAGGTAGACCGTGGACCAGAAATCGTAGTGTGCAGAATCGTTCGGAGTTTTTGGTGGCAACTTACTTTCTTTCCTAATGAACTCCTTTTGTGCCACGGATTAATATTTTGGATGTTGCCAGCAGAAAACCCGGCAGGTTAATGTGATAATCAAGGTTGAAAATTGCACATTTCCCGTCGCATCTGTAACGGTTTCGTTGAACCGCCGATAGAGGGCAGTAGTTGCAACCTCGAATCAGCTCTTCGTAGCCGATTTAGGAAATCGTGTTGTTTCACCGGGGTACGAGAAGGGCAAGGACGGAACATGGCGGCGCCCGTGAACAGGACGAGCCGAGTTTGTGAAGAAACCGGTGTAACTTAACCGTTTACAGAGACGAACCTTTTGAAGAGTTGGTTCGAAAGGAGAGAGAGATTGTCCAAGAAAACAAGGCCGAGTATGCCCAGGCCTAGGCCCGTCATGCCCGTAAATACGGGCGGTTAAAAACCACCATGTTTACAAGTCTACCGTCTAGTAGTAGAACCAGTCATGCCAGTACCAGACCACAGGCCAGATGGGTTTTCATGTCGTAAAATATAGATTGTAAAGGCGGTTTTATGACTTTGGCTAAGAAAAATATTGTTTTTGCTATTAGTAGGATGGGTAGGCGAGTACTTTTTGGCATTGTGTAGTTAAATTTAAGACACCTCTAATAAATATCAATCATGTTTTTGTTTTACAAATACAAGTCCGTACAATGTCATTCATAATTCAAAACTATAGCTTGAGTAACTCCTGCTTACATGCTCATCAGCATGTCAGCTGGAGTTACTCAAGCTAATTCAAAACCATGCTCTCTTTCCACAAAATTAAGCAACATGGCATTTTATAATTAGGGAACTATCTGTCATGTCTCTACGATTCCAAACCAAAAAGGTGATTGATCCTAGCTGGAGTTATATCAGCCCTATATTAATGTTTTATCATTGGGTGATGACAACCCATTGATAATATATATAGGGCTGCAACCCAATGATAAAATATATAGGGCTGAGGTAACTCCAGCTAGATTGATCCTGCTATAGGCATAACAGTCTCTAAACATGACTGTTCTTTTAAATGGAAACTGGGTCAAAAACTGAGTGATTACTTATGTTTTAACTCTTACTCAAAATTTTGATAGCTGAAAGACATTAAAAGGTCAGAATGATGGCTGATTTCCTCATCCTTGCAAATCCCATCACCATGTCTGGCACTCATGTTTATCAAAAAAGCAAGAGGAATGTCTAGAAAAATTACAACGCAGGGCTTTTCGTATCATTTTGTCTTATGAATATTGTCTCATTAGATCATACAGTGAAATATGTTCCCAACTCAATGTTCTCCCACTTTCCCGCCGCAGAGAACAATTGTGTTCCGTGTTTGGCAAATCACTACTCACTTCCCACAAATTCAGAGACTGGCTGCCCCCGATTAGGAACAATGGGTTAAGGAACAATGATCAGCTCAGCACAATACGCTGTAGGACTAACAGGTACAAATGTAGCTCTATTCCCTACTTAACTGATCTGATTAACAAAGATATGTGACCTCTTTTTCCTGAGTTGATGAAGGAACTCGTTGTTGGTCACAGTTTCTGGTTAACTTATTACATGAAGTAAGTTGGGTATTTATAAACGTATAGAGCTCACTCAATGACGGCCATCTCTGTGGGGGGACTGCGACTGCGTATTTTACGCAGTCGGATTTGAATGATTTTAATGTGTATTACTTGTGTGTATTTTGTTGTGATTTACCTTTTTAATGTATCTTTTACACGATGTAATTCCCTGTAATTTTAATATATAACGATTTTTAATGTGTGTAAATTAAACTGCAATTCGGCCTTATGGCCGTGAAAGTTTAATAGAATAAACCATTAATAATAATAATATGGCAATCTGTGCAGATAAACAGTTGGTATTTGAGATACGCCATATTTAAAGTAAAGCACAATCTGTTTACAAGTGCAGTACTCATCCTAACAGATTCCAACAAACCCTAGCGTTGGAGTTCGGCTGGTTGAGGATCTTATGGTCCCTCAAAGTTTCCGCTGTTGTGCCGGTAATCTCTCTTAACATGCAAATGTATGCGCATGAGTGTCTTTGTCACTCAAGATTATCAATTTATGTTTTAAACCGAGCAAATGAGTAGCTCCAAGGGAAAACGCTGGCCTCCATTTCCACTGACCCAAGTACAAGTCCCACACTCAACATTAAATTTGTTTCATTTTTATTGTCCTAAATCCAGTCCTCCAATTAATTACAGAATATTTCAACTTTCTCTTCCTCATCTCATCAGGTTCTGCAATGTGACTCCCGGTTCAGTTGAACATGGTTGGCAGATGGGAGGAGAAACCATATATTCCAGTGGATGATCATTGCGTGTGGCTCCTCCTTGTGTCCTCCAGAATATTTGCTGCAAGTATATAAAGGAACTGCACCTCACGAAATTGCTCCTGTCTGGCTAGGGAATTGCCTTGCCTTGATCTGATTGCGGGAACACCACTTCTCAGACTTTGGATGCCTGCCCAGCGATGGTGATGAAAGTGACATTTATCTTTAAAAGACACTGTCTTATGCTCCTGTCTATAAGCATGTATCAAAGGTATACATATACATGTATTTGTCAGCAATGATCAGCCATGTTTTTCTATTAGTTGGCTAACACCACCTGTAACTACATGCACGGCAACATGTATTAGTATTTAATCAGCTTGGTCAAGATGGTAGAAATGTGAACTGTAATCATGACTTTCATGAAGGCTATTTCATCCGTCGATTGGTATTGGTCACCCAAGTTCCAGTTTTAAAGAGTTTATTTTAGGCTAATGGCAATCCAATCATCTACAAATAGTTTGTCTGGCTCAAAATGTAAGAGAAAAAACTAAATAATGTCTTGAAAAAGCATTGCATACCTGCTTAATTAATTACCATGAAATCTTTCGGTTCATTTTAGGTTAACGATGTAATTTAGTAATCTGCAATAGTCTTTCAGATTCACATTAATTAGTAGGAAGTTCAGTGATGACTTGAAAAACCAACTTGTCCGCATATAAACAATGCATAATATAGCCAAAGCGTTAAATTTTGCATAATTTGATGCTTTATATACCGTGAAACCCTTACAATTATGAAACTTTTGGCATCAAAATACTTCATGTTGGGTTAATGATGTAATTCGGTCATCTACAAAGAGCATTTTTAGCTCTGCATTTGAGAATAATAATGACTAGAAAAAATGTTGTATTATTACATACATTTGTAATTATTTCCCATCGATAAACAATCTTTGGAATTCAAGTTTTAGACAGTTTGTTTTTATTGAGTGGTCGGGCACAACCCGACCACTCTTTGGAACTGTTACGATTAATCTTTCTTTCTTTTTTTTTCCGTACGGCACGTTTCCGGGGGTTTTCTCCAAACGGTTTATGATAGGAACTTGAAACTTTCAATATATATCGACCCTCATCCTAAGTGGTGCATATTACTCTGACGTCATTATGACGTCATCGGATGTCAAATTACAAGCGATTTTTGTTAAAAAACTGACGATCTTCTTTCACCTATAACTCTTGAAGAAAGTAATCAATTATGTTCCCACCTTCTAATCAGATAGACCATTAACTGATAAACATTTTTTGTCGTGTACGTAAACTCGCTTGACCTTTACTTCCGGGTCTACCGGAAGGTCAAAGTTAGGTGAATTTAAAATGAAGGCGTTAGCCTGAAATCAAAACGAAGCACAATTTCTTCCGAATGGTTTACGGTATGATCACAAAACCTTGTGTGAGCTTATACATGTTTCGAAGATGTTGTAAATTTTATTTCGTCATCATGACGTCATCAGATATAAAATACGAGCGATTTAAGGGCAAAGTTTGACAACATAGTTTGCGTTATACCTTTTGAACTAAATAGAATATCGTGTTCGTTTTTTCATGAGACTGTATTATTGATTGTATTCATGAGAAACATTTCGTGTTCCCAGACACAAAACCGCCTGACCTTTACTTCCGGTATTACCGGAAGTGCAATAAAAACTGAATATAACTCAAAAGCGGAAGCATTTTCTACAGACATATATATTATGAAAGTGTTTAGTGAGGAATGCTAGACACACAAACAGTGTGATGACGTCATCATCGGAAAGGGCGCCCCCTAGCGGCACATAGAATAGTGTTTGCTTTCTTTAATTTTAAAACCTAAAGTTCAAATTTTACCAAATCGCCCCTTGATATTCTTTGATTAACCACAGATAACATGGGAAGGTTTCAATTTCATGACGTTATCAGACCGGAAGTTACTTCTATGACAATTTGCCAACAATCATATTTTAAATTCAATTTTATCATTTGATCCATGTCGTATATCTTAGCCCAAATAACGATACCATTACAATGTTCTCATTTTGCTTCCAAATACTGTGACGTCATTAAACCGGAAGTTCGGTGTTATGAATATATACACTTATATTTTCCAAGTTTTCATACGTTATTTAACTTCACATTGAACATCCACTCCGAACTAAATCAGTATTCAATTCCCGCTTTTGACTAATGACGTTATCAAGCCAGAAATAACTTGTATGTGCACTAAGGAATGTTTACTGAAATGTATTACACCTTTAAAGATGCCTTTTTTAAACAAAATAATTGATTGTCCTGGAAAGGAATTAATTTCCAGATCCTTAGCTCTTACACAAAAATATTCATGACTTAAGTGGACAGTGTTTCATAAAATAATTTTCTACCCGACCACTCTGCGTTTGTAATAACAAACGCAAATCTCTAGTTTGGATAGACGACATAATTAAGTTATCTTTCAGCATCACATGGAACATTTCAGTGATACTTTGGAAAAATACTGTGTAAGCATACAACACGTACTGAATATGACCAAAGCGTTGCATGTATTTGCTGAATAATTTCCTACTTAATTAACAAAACAACAATAAACTTTAATTATGAATTTTTTTGCATCAAAGACTATTTAGTGACATGTAATTCAGTCATTTACATTCATGGATACAGTGTGGTATTCCTTATGGATATAAAATCAGTAATGCCTAAAAAAAACAGGTGGTACATGTACATGTAATAAAACATTGCACACAGATACACAGTATGTCAAAGCATTTGTTTTGCATTAGTATTGTTATTATGAAATCCCTTTGGCTATGAGCGTACAATTTTGACAGTTATTTATCATTAAGTATTCCAAGTTGGTGACAATCTGCATTGAAATCGGAGGGGCCATTGCCGAGATCCTTAAGGGAATGTATTGTCAGAGGCCCCCAAAAGAGGATTTTTTGGTATAACACTTCCAACGAAGACTGTGCTTAAACCTGCCACCTGATAGCTTGGCAACAGAAAGAATTGAATTCAGCACCCTCGAATTGACAACGAACAAGCATTTTTTTGTTGCCACAAAAAATCTTGAACGGACTTAATTTTCTAGGCAAGATAGGATTTCTGGCCTACGGTCTCAGGGTATAAACGGTCTCTTGAAGACTGGGTTGTTCATGGGCGAGGCGAGTTTCAACCAAGCTCAAATCGTCTACGTATTTCCAGTGGTGTATTTGGTCATTGGAATTTTGACAGGCATCGTTGATGACAGCAGACAACACAATAGGGCCTAGTCGTGTCCCCTAAAAAACTCCTGCATGCATGGATCTCCAATCAGATGTGATACCCCTATAGCGCACACATTGTCAGCGGACTATGAATGGTGTTATTTGAAACGATCAATTGTAATAGACCCTTATGCGTTGCAAGTATTTCAGAGGGTGTATAGTTAATTATTTTAATAGTTTAAAGTTAATTATGGCATATCCCAGCAACACAAAAATATTGCCCTCTCACTCCACCTCATTGTATGTGAAACGTAGAGTGGAGACAGACCAACGAACAAAATAAACATCACGACGGACAGACGGATTGCTAGTCTTGAGCAAAATGAAACCAGGAAAAAGTCAAGAAGAAATATCCATCTTGCGTATAGTAACTAACAGTAAGGAGTAGATAACATATCTATGACAGACAAGGGGTGGATGTGGACGAATTGGAAGGACTAAGAAGAAATTGAACGATTGCGTCTCACCCAAAATTGATACGACGCCGCAGACGACCCAGATAATCAGACTCATTCCCACACTGTGAGCTCCGACGAGGACTCCTTTGGGTGAGATGAAGATCCCTGATCCAATCATCGCCCCTACGATCAGAGACACCCCTCGCACTAGGCCAACCTCCCTCTTCAAGTGGACGGTTCCTCTTTCTTTATTGTTGTCGTAGGAGGGGTGGGGCAACTCCAAGGTTTTCAGAGGGGTGGCCTCGTTGTGCTTTCTCTTAAACCGACCCTACATGAAGTAAATGTCAGATTAATACCAACTACGACAAAATATCGTCTCAGAAATACATCAATTTGTTAATTTCTCCATTTATCCACACTTAAAGCCTCAGATAGATAAAGCCCTTTCCTTCTTTACAATTTATGAAACAATAATATTTCCGCCATATTACTGTGTAGTCCTCTGGATTGCATTATTTGAATGTTGATAAAGCTTTTAATCAGCAGAAGTGTAGAATATTCCTGCAGCGGTGACAACTTGATAAAAAATAAAGTAAAATGGTGGAAACCCCTACATACTTACCTTGAAAATATTCCTCAGCATGGTACCAGGTCAGTCTGTTAAACCACGGGTTGGTATTGTTGCTTCAAGTTGGTCTTAGTATTACACAGCCATGTTCTGAACTTCAATATCCACAATAGGTTGATAGATTCTCACCGCACCACGCTGCCAATGCTTGTCACAGTAATTACATACCAGCACAATGCCGTGCATTATACAAGCAGAGATGATAATTCATTTGCACCACCGTATGTAACACATGTTCGTTATGACGTCAACAAATTATGCAAATTGCTTTCTACCTCAAGGATACTTCATTTGATAATTTTCGCAGTTGAACGATAAACATAAAGTTTCCTGCAACAGAAATTTCATGACCTTGAAAACGCTTTGTTAATTTCATAACGTACCATCTGCTGGTTGTTCGTTTATTACTTTAAATATCAAAACCAATGCAACACAACGACCTAAAAAATTTTAAACCGACAAAAATCCATCATCCTCTTCTCTACATTACCTATGATTGCTTGGGCAAAAGTGCAAGTCGATAGATGGAATTCAGCAATACTATCAAGTATATCTACTCTCGCTTTTGTGTAGTCCGTTCAGAGAACAGCTGGCTTCCTTTGTTCCTATTGCACAACGTCAATATATTTCATGGTCAATTGATTCTGCACGTTCCCTGCTCCACGGTCTTTCTGTGGATAATTGCATTTGCATTGTACTTTGGATAATTGTAATTATGCATATCATGTCGATGACGGAGTTTAACGACTGTTTCACAACGCACACACAGTTGCAATATCGAAACACACTGACAACTAGCATACATGATCACTTGACACTTTGTTTATAGACGTTTATAGAGTGCTGATGCCGGCGGCCGACTAAGCGAGTCTATACGTGACTTTCTCCTATAAGCCGAATAATTCAAAATGGATAAAAGTTGAAAATCGGTGGGTGTATTGCTCGGCACCCCAGAATGTGAAGTGTCAAGTATGAAGTTGTTTGGATGAGCGGTTCTCTAGATTTACCCTGTGTGTGCAAAGAGCTACGATCCCGGCTAAAACTAGTTGGGCCCCACCCTGGCCCCTGGCCAAAGTTTCCCCTGCTCAAGCGCTTGATGACAACATTGACCAGGGGAGCGAGCCACCAGGAGAGGATGCTCTTGTGTGAACGTGCAACCATTTCGGCCGGGATTGTCGCTGACATTTACTGGGGGCTATTCCATTATCAACAATACGTGCTTCACTGGGGGATATTCTATTATCAATAAAATGTACTTCACGGGGGGGGGGGGGCGGGGGAGGAGGCTGCACCATTATCAACAATGGTAAATAAACAATGACACACTTTTCTTCCTCATGTTTTCTTACTATATCATTCGGGGAATCTCTGTTTGTCTGTCCACATGTAAACATTTAATGTGCTGTCAACCTGTGAGTGCGCTCAACCTGTGAAAACAACACCATTGAATCGTGTGCGTCAATTGTTTGCATGAGCATGTTCTCAGAAAACGCTGCAAAAGTAACCAATACCAGCGGCCAAGCAATTTAGTTGCTCCTTGCGAACAGGCACATTTTCAACGGGCACTGCACTAGTCAAGACTAAAGAGGAATGCTAAAGTCAACAATGCACTTATGGTTGCAGACCAGTAAAAAAATGCCATAGACCCCAACGATAAATGCCCCCACTTCAGAAATTCAGGAAAAATACTCACAACTCTTCAAGGTGTTCGAGACACACATCAAATTAAAGCTTATTTCAATATCTTTCATTTTCTTTTAAATTTTGGGAGGGGGTTAACTGATGACTTTTAGGAGGAATTTCCATCCGAAGAAGATAAACCCCTAAAATAGTCCTGAAGCCCTTCGCCATTTTGAAAAACGATGCCTACACTCCATTGCAAACTGCGGCGCTTAATTTCATCCAAATTGCACAGAACTACAAGCTCACAGCCCTGTGCACGGCTTCAACCCATATTTTTTACAAACCCTCAAGTTCATGCCCTAAAATATACTCAAGAATTTGAGGGCATGCAAATCGTGATTTGGCCGGCGTAGGCAATTTTGGACCGATTTACTGGCCTGCAACCTTTATGGACTCCGAACTGGAGAGAGATTTAGTCTTGACTCTGAAATTGTCCACTATCCAGCACACTTAATGGTTGGTTGATACATTTACAATACTACTCGGTGAGGTATAACAATAATAAGACTGCCCTGCAAAGCCATGTGAAATGAATGGCAAGTGGATGAACCATTTTAAAACTCTGACAATTCAGGGTAATTTGGTTAATATCTCCGAGTTTGAAGGATCAGATCCCTGGTGAAAATCTTATATTTTTAATTTGCCAAAAGGTGGGATGAAATTTATCTCAATACCTTTCTAGACACACTGCCTACAAAGGCTAATCTCAGTCGTTAGCAAGGTTGTTTACATAAAGCGTAGTCTCTGTAAGGAGAAGAGACCCTCAATCATATTCTTATGGTGCTCTAAAATGGACAGGCAAGCGGCGTGCATCGACTATCACATGTTGTGGTTAAACTTTTCACACGTCATGCATAGTTCAACATTTTAACCGTCGTGCTTTATCTTCGCCAGGAATTGACAAGATCCACCCACAAGCCTTAAGAGAGTGCAGTATGAAAATGGCAGTGATTCTGTATCTGATCTTTGAGAAGTCGATCGCAGAAGAAACCATCCCAGAAGACTGGAGACGTGCGAAGATTGTTCCTATCTCTAAGAAAGGATCCAAGAGCCAAAGCTGGAAACTACCGCCCAGTCATACCAGCGTTCCATGCAAAGTGATGAAGTCTTTAGTCAGGGACTCCATTCTTAGCCATATCTCCAAGTACGAGCTCATATCCAAAGACCAACATGGGTTTACCTCGGGTAGGTCATGCATGAAAAACCTTCTTGACACCCAGGATAATGTCACTAAGAGCCTGGATGAAGACTAGTTGATCTGATCAACATGTACTCGGATTATTCAGAAAAGTTCTTCACCAAGTCAAGTACGAGTACCCGGGGTCACAGTTTGAAGTTGTTCAAGAAGGGAATGCAAAAGGTCTCCAATTGAGGAATCATTTCTTCTCCCAACGGTTAATAGACAACTGGAGCAACCTCTCAGCATACGTCGTAAAAATCATGAATGTCAATCAGTTCAAGAATACCTTTGAAAGGTTCTTGAAAGAATCTGGATAAGGGGTCTTAAAAGGCTCAAGCCTATAATTGATAGTCCTATCAAATCAGGGGCGGATCCAGGAATTTTCGCAGGGGGGTGTGGGTTTCATCAGCAAAAAAATCTGTTCCGGAAACTTGGCCTCCGTAAAATAAAAAACTGGGGGCGGGGGGGGGGGGCTGTTACCATATTTCAATAGGGGGCGCTGTTCAAATTCGACGATTATTAACACTAGATTACAGAATGGTGTACCATATTTTGAACAGGCGGACATTATACCAGTACAATTTTTTGGGGGTGTCACAGGGGTAGGGGGGGTTCGACTTATTTTTTAGGAATTTGTATGATATTTTTTTTGTTGACAGAGCTGGGGGGGGGGGGGTTTGACCCCTCAAACGCCCCTCTGGATCCGCGCCTGCAAATCTTAAGTGTAAGTGTAAGGAAATGCCTGATCGTTATTAAACTTGGTGGGCAGGTGGTATTTAATAATGGTATTTTAAATCTGTAGTGACGTAGGGATGACGTTATCAAAAAAAAAAATTTCTAACATGTTCTCTCTGTTTTTCTAGTAAGAATGTAGACATGATGAGAAGTCGATGTCGTGTTGTGCCTGACGAGGCCCCCAATATTTACTAGCACCGCCTTCGCTAGCGCTGTGTGTCATGTTTACGTTGGGCATGCATCCGACAGGTCTAACGATTGGACAAGTATGAATTTGGATGGTTATTCATTTATGCGCCAAGCGAAATACATATGCATTACGTTTCCATAGGGAGGGCCAATGATAAACCGGCTGTATCGCTGGGAAGCATCCATTATGAGAGTGGGGATACAGTTCGAAGCATGCTTCATCAATGCGCGCTTTTCTTTCTCTCTTTCTCTTTGTCCAGCGGATAATCGTTAAAATATTACACTTAGTGATGTAATAGAATAAAATAGAAAATACTTTATTAGTCTATCAAGGAAATTACATTTGCTCACCGGTACAATAAAAAAGAATTAGTATTATACAATTAAAGTTATACAATTTCACAAAAACACTAAAAAATTACAGTGCTATCACAAAAACACAATTACAATAATATTAAGATTAAGGTTTTACAATGTTGGATGTAATTAAAAACGTTAAAAAAATAATACTAAACTATCACTGTTTTTAATTCTTAAATATAAAAATATTTAATTAAATATTTAATGTTAAAATAGGAAATGTAATGTCCAAATCTTGTTTTTCGAATACGAATATGATGATGTATTCCAGACGGCCCAGGAATTAGCTTCGACCCCTCAAGCAATCGATTTGCTCCAGGCTGTACAAGTTGCACGGTGCCGGTGAGGCATGCATCACCACGCACACAAACGTGTGTTCACCGTCGATCGTGGACGTCATATTGTCCCTCTTTTATTTGTACTCCAACTTTTTAAGAAGACTCCCATAGGTTTTGTACACTACCCCAATCGCGGACGTATGCAAGGAAATCGTGGACGATATTGTTCTCTTTTGTTCTCTGGTATTTTTTTCGTCCACGGTTTGAAAAGATGAACACGTACATGCGTGTTATTATACACTGCGCGCTTCACGTAACCCCGGGACGGTATGCGTTAGGCAACGCCGGTGGTACGGTGCGGTACGCGGCGGCACAGGCGGACTAAACCCGGCCAATTGCCGACTTGATTTTAAGTCTAGTAAGATTTGGAATATTAAACCTAATGGTATAAAATTATAATGAAATATATAACCAAATAATACATAAGAAAATATTAGACAATTATTGTTTTTCGAATTGGAAAAACATTATGATGGCATACCAAACGACCCAGGCATTAACCTAGTCTGGTTCCCAGACCAAAATATTCTGACTATTCCTGATGAATCTTAGGTCAGGTAGCCTCTGGTAATACATTGTATTACATTTTACGTCACGTGACTAAAACGGGAAGAATTCCTCCTTTTTCCGAAAATTTCCGAAGTTTGCCGAGTTCAATTCGTCGACAATCGGATAGCGCCCGAGCATTTCCTAGTATAATATAGGTTTCATTAACTGCTAATTGCTTATTAACAACCTTTTTTAAATGAGCTGATAACTAATATTCATTGCTTTCATTAAGAAAACTTGAAATTCAACGACGATCTTGAGCATCAAGTATACTCGGATCGTATGGGCGAACTTTTTGCTGCGTCATGTACCATTTTGAATTTGACGACCGTAACCATGATTTTCCAAAACTCTGTCTTCAATCGGCTCCGCCTGCTAACAGTACTATTTGGGTGCCTAATTTTGAAGATTCCAGATCAACATTAGTCAATGTTATCTTACAGAAATATCAAACTGTATTATCATAACTGTATGACATTACAAAGCAAGTGATTTATTTACAAATTTGATCTGAAAATTTAAAGCTATAAGTGATAAAGCGAAATAGGAAACGAAGCCGAGCTTTGAAAAAGGGCCGTCAATGTCGTCATGTTTATTTTTAGCCACGGAGGCTGCCTGACCTACAATTTAGACGTGAGCGTCGGGAATAATTGTCAGGTATAGGGAACCAGACTAGCATTAACTTTGACCCCTCGCTCGAGGACTGTGATTCACTCTGGGCAGTGAACAATGCACATGCAAAGACGCGTAAATAAAAAGGTGCAATACGAATATTTATATTCTGCAGATTCTTAATGATACTGCTCCGTCTAAATCCGTAACGATTTCATATTTTATTCCGAGTACTCCAATTAATACAGTTTGCAATACCATTTCATGTTCAAAATACTGTAGAGGCTAGATTTGTGGAGTACACAACTGTTGCAATGATGCTGAGTACTCGCGTTGTCTCTCCGTACAGGATATACAGTGTAGGCATTTCATCACCAAAAAGTACTTCATTTTGGCTGCATATGACGTGAAGACTTCGTGGCGGTTGGTGCAGTTAGTTAATAACGAGATGGACTGACGAGAAACAACTTCTGGTAGAACAGAGTCATTTGATCTGGGGAGGTAAAAAAGGCAAATCTTCTCTGTAGAAACGTTTCAAAGAACAGGCGAACATTATTATAATTGTGAAATGTATATGCATGTATTTATGTACTGACTCATGAATGGTAGCTGTCTTTTCCCCCAGACGAACACAAGGTAAACTACGAGGCCTATGGCCAGTAATACCAGGGCGTACAAGTACTCCAAGGTAGGAGCGGCAATTAATGGCGCCAAGATCATAAACACGCAGACGGCAGTCGCGAAGATAGGTATCAAGACATTCACCTGGCATAGGAAATGGGGAAAAAAACACAATTTGATAATCGATTATTTACATAAGTTCGGAAGTACAGTTTACCAAACACTGACATGTACACATCAACACGAATAAACCAAGCAAAGGATCGCTTCCATTGAAAGAGCACAGTAATGAATGTTCTTTTAATCACGAGATTCAATTTCAGTCAGTTTTTAAAACCCTCCTTGGACTTTTATCCACAACGCATGGCAGGTGGGTCTATTAACTTTAAAGTCTCCGTTCGCGAACTCTCCAATTCCACATTGTATTATCCTGCCAATTTAGTAAACACATAACAAAATCCACTGCAAAAATCACAAGTTCCGTAATACGTGTAGAAATGTTTGATTTCTTTAAAAATTATCAGGCCCCCAAAAACAATTACCTTTAATTAACCTCAGTTTGTGTAGACCCCCAAACAGGCCAGGAGCACGGACCACGAGTGCGATATAATACATTACTCATTTTCTTAAACCTGAGAACACTGCTTAGTTTAAGGCTTTACTTGCCCTGAATGGTCTTGGTTTATCCGGGTACTTCCGTCGTAAAATCAGAACGGCCATAAACGCAGCCCCGTGAAATATGTAGGAGACGAAGCTAGCAAATTTGAGAATAGAGTTGAAGTCCCCAAGCAGAATGAGAATAATCGCTATAATTGCCTGAAAAAGAAAATCACAGGTTAATGTAAACATAAAAAATGACAACTCATAAGATATAACATCCCGAGCTATAGCTAAAGCCATAATCACACACAAATGGCAACTCGTATTACACCTCAAAAGTGATTTTTTTTTCTTTCTAATAAAGATTAGTTTAGAAAAATTTCCCAGGATTTCTGAAATTTTACGGACTTTAGACTAACAAAAGATGAAAAAGTCCGCGAAAAAAGCGCTTAAAAAAATCCACAAGAAACAAGAAAATAAACATGATGCAAAAGGAAAATGAAGTCAATGTTTAATAAACATATACGACCTGCAAGACTATCGCCGGCAGTGGGGTCAACCGCTTCACATTGATCATTGACAAAACCTTCAACATATGACCTTCTCTTCCGGCTGCAAATGCTATCCTAAATGTAAAAGAAAAAGTGATTGATTAATAAATACATAAATCGCTGTCGGTAAAAGTTAAAACAAGAAATTTGCTGCAACGTTCTTTACCAAACTTTCATCATTGCTTAATCGTTCAGAACGTTACCGTTTTACCTTGGGGAGGCAAGGATGTTACCGAGTAGATTACCAAACGTAGAGATGCACACACCCACAGGAATAACCCAAGCCATGGGACCAAGTGTTCTCTCGGCAAATGTCTGCATTGGAAACAAGAGGGCGCTAATATCATAAACAAAAAAAGAATTGGGACACGCCATTCGTATTATGAGGGGAGTGAACTCAAAGAGTGTTTCACTACGGAAGCGTATTGCTGCCAACAAAAAGAAACATTTACAAAAAAAACCGAAACCCAAACAAAAATAAATGAAAAACACCCCCCAGTTAATATTTAAACGAAAAACGGACCGAAAAAAATTAATCAAAAAACGAACCTCTAAAAAATATTAATTCAACGAAAAAGGAACCACCCTCCCCCCCCCCCCAGAAAGAAAAACAAAAAAAGAACAGAAATGTCAATGTTCAATTTGTTCATGAGCTATGATCCAAACAAATCATTCACTTTTGAAACTAAAATCACTGTAATTTAATACTGGATGACGTCATCACGTCTCGCACTTTTGTATGCAATTTGTAAATGAGTTGATATTTGTTATATTACAAATGCGACACAATGGTCGAGTCACAACACTGGATGCGAGATGCGAGATGCGAGACGCAAGATGGCAGATTTGAAACACCATATTAGATCATTTTCCATTACATTTTTTTCTGTTCATTTTTCGTTGTATTTTTTCGTTAATATTTTTGGGGGTTTATTTTGCATAAATTTTTGGGGGTTTGTTTTTCGTTTCATTATTTTATTTTTGTTTTCGTTTGGCAGCAATACGCTTCCGTTGCATCCTATTTGCCAAACTTTTAAATCATTTAAAGGGAAAGCTACGTAGATTTATTTGATTTTCAATGATGCAATTACCACTGCGACGGCGCTTGAAGCCAGTAGCTCAGTCGGAGAGAGTGTGGTGAAATATGCAATGTTGGTTAATAGGTAAATGATGGTCACAGCAGGTATAGCGATACCAATAGCCAACGGAATATTCCTGAAATTGACAAATCGAAACAGACACATGTTTGAATTGGGGTATTGTTTAGACATTTTGGAATCGTAAGACTAGAGAAAGTTATTTGAATTGATTTGGAGTATGGTTATGGACGGGGTGAACAAATGCAACACTTTGAGGCGCCACTTATACCACTGCGCTGATGATCAGGTGCATTAATTTCACGCTACAAGGTTGCATGGGTTCGTGTATTATGAGTTATGTATTTTGCGCATCATTGTGGAACATGCAGTCAGTGTTCTTACTTTATGGTTGTCCTAACTATGTCAAACATTTGTGACGATGACGGGGGCAACTTCAAGTCTGAATTACAAATGATGACAATGACAACTATCGGATGCATGATGCTGTTGCTGTTGGTGTTGCTGGCATGTTGCTACTACTACTGATGCTGCACTTTTTCTATTGCTTACTTTTAAGGTTGTTGTTCACACTAATTGGGGTTTAATGATGAAAGTATTGCAAATAAAGAGAATATATTTTTATGACCAACCTGCCTGGATTTTTCAGCTCCTCCGTGACACTGTTCAGTATTTCCCTTTTGAGTAAAGACAGGAAACAGGAAAATTTCAAGCATTAGTTCTATAAACCAATAAAACAAAATAATGGCATCACTCCCTTAGCATTCTAGTGTAGAATATTATGTGTTACATTTGGTAAAACTTCAATGAAAGATAAAACTACAGTTAACGTAACGCTGCCTTTTGCTTACCGAATTAACCAATGCATTTTACTCACCAACCGGCATAGGCCCACAAACCATTGTAGAAAGCTAATCCATAACCTAGGAACTGCGTAGTTGAACCTTCAAATGACACCGAGGGGTCTAAATACTCCGTGTGACCTGGGGACATAATTAAAGCGGGTATCAAAGCGGATAGAGACTTTTCCTAGTTTGAGAATCACCCGTTGTCCAACGGAGCCCTCTCCATAACCCAACGTCTGATATTATGTGAGCTATGCATATTTTATGCGACCCTGCGCGCTAGCCAATCGGAGTCAGAAATTGTGACGTCAGTTTCGATCAGAAATGTGGACTAAGCTGTTGATTGGTCAATTTGGCTGCCATATGTTTTCGTAATACAACAACGGGTTACGAAGTCCCAATAGATAGAAGGCACCCACTGAATGGTCAGAATCTTCAGGTCAAGAACAATATTTTTATTGATCTTTATTAATGAATAACAGTTTAATTATGAGAAACTTCTAATAAACAACTTTGAATTAGCAAAGAACAAATCATACGTTACTTGACAATGCAAGAATTTCCTCAATCCATAACTAAAAACTAGTCAAAAAGGTGTTTCGAAAAATGTTTAACTTCAAAGGCGATTATCTCGGAATGACCTTTTTGCATGATATTGAGGTTTTTGTCACGTCGTGAAAACACCGTCGATATAGACTCTTGCTGGGCAAGAGGATATTAGATAAGACATTTCCTGGGGACTCACTGCTCATTTTGAATGCAAATCCCAAGCTTCTTAATTAAGAAACTGAATGGAACTCTATGAACTCATCAAAACATAGATGTTTGAGCCTGATTTATTTCTAAAACTCTTTGCGTTTTAAGTTCAGTTCTTAAGCAAGAGAATCACTTGTAATTTTGAACCAGCATCCATGAATACAAAGAAATAGAACCCACTGATCCCTCCAGAAACACATTTGGTTTCTAAGTGAAAGACATAATTTTCGTTGTACGTCCTTAACGTACTGAGTTCAGGTACGGCTATTTTTTTGTCTGTAAAGACAATACATTTTGACTGAAGACTAATATGCCCTTCTAGGTAAATACCAGTATGGAGTTTGTTGGGAAAAGTAAGATATACACATACTCCATCAAAACCTCTTTGCTCTTACCTTGGAATACTTTGACGAGACCAGCGATGATGATAACCATGAGGGCAATGACTTTTGCTCCCGAGAAGACCACAGACAATCCACTGGCAACGCGAACACTCACACAGTTGATGAATACAATCAACACTATGGCACAAAAAAACTAAGACTTGATCTGATAATCGCAAAACGGCAAGAAATCCATATAAGAAGTCCGCCACGCTTAGATTCACATCGTATTTTTTTTTAAATGTCTTGTCGGGGTGACAAGCGTCCTTGTGAGGACTAGGTAAATGTCATCATCATTGATCTCCTAGGAATTCTCTAAATCAATCAAAACATGCATGTACATGTATATCTGACTATTTATGCCCAGGGATTGAACCAGCCGTCCTCCATCTTGGGTGAACTGTGACGCGATTTTTTTAACATGTTGTTTGTATATTGGTTTCTTCTTCAGGTCAAGGCGGCAAAAACAGAAATGGTATTTTCTGACTAGTTTTTGAAATTTAAAACATCCTACTCCCTAGACTGGCCAATACCCAAAGATTATTAGGGGAAAAAGCAATTGCAGAATGATAAATATGTACTTTCGGAGATGACTTTTGGGGATCCAAGATGGCGCATCAGTTGCTTCAAGGTGTTGAGGTCCTCAATGACCTCACCTCATCATCCATCGGTCTAGAACCATCTTGCTCAATCATATAGCCCAATATAGCCATATTATATAACAATACTTACTGACTGAGAGAATAGCAAAGAGTTGGATCGCTTCCCTAGGAGGGGCGCAATCGCCAGGAATGACGTAATCAGATGTATAGGTTCCCAAGGTGATAGCTGTCATGGCAACACCAGCTGGCATCATAATAACTACCAGAGACCATGCAACCATGAAGCCGGGTAGATTACCATAGGCATGAAGCGCGTACTGGTATGGACCTCCAGCTAGTGGTACCACTGCGCCTAGTTCAGCAAAACACATCGCACCTGTAAAAAAAAAATAATAATAATAAATATCTACGTCGGTGAAGGGCAAAAGCTAATGTTGATTTACATCACCCCGACGCATTTTCATCTTATGCAAGCAATGTCTACAATGTTTCTTCATAGGAGGTTAATTTCTAGTTTTCACATTTAGTAGAGACAATTAGATTCAATTGAAGGGCTGACAGAGGGGATGAGCTTAAACATTAAATATAATATCTGTCTTCACCTAAACTATAATTGGAAGAGGAGAGGGGCATTCTTCGAGTGGAAAATGGAGATTCCCCCGTGCCCTAGCGACATCGACAGTCTGTCAATGGGCAACTATTTGGGTTATTTGCTGTACGTTCACAATATCAGAACGGTTAAGTCTAAATACATTCAAACGTCAAAATGGCGGTGGTGGGGATAGAGTTACAAGGAAACAATTATTTTAATGAGTTCAGATGCGAAACGAAACTTTTTTTTAAATGAGAGGTAATAACAGTGGGAGTGACCTAGTCCGAAAAGTTGGGACTCTCAATTACTGTGTATATATGCCTCCTCAATCTCAAGGCATTGAAAACATGCAATACAAGAAAATAGACCGGCACATCAAACAAACGGTCCAACAACCCTTTAGTCCTGTATCAATCAATGGTAATGTTATGGGGACGAACCCGGAGTGCCGATCTCTCTTTTGTTAGCGATTGGGCCAGACTCGCCACAACTCCTCCACCGCAAGTCAATACCTTCACAGCACTGAACAATGCCGGGACATTTAACACCTGGGTTGAGAGGAGTAATTAAGGTAAAGTGCCTTACTCAAGGGCACAACACGCATGGCCACGACGGGGCTCGAACCCACAGCCTCATGATCATTAATCTTGTGCTCCACCGCTAGACCACACGTATCAATCAACTGTGTCTGATATACCTAGCTCTGTTTGTACACATTATCGATAGTCATGCAACGAGACTACCGAAGGGTCAATCTTTGCGAAACGTTTGACATGCACTTATCCAAATTATAATAATTTGGCTTCACCCTCAGGTGCCAAATGCTAAAGAAAAGTCTCCTTTTAAAAATTGAATCGAGACCTCAAAGTTGGCTGGTAAAAACACAATATATTTCCACAACGAGAAATTCCAGCTCTGAGTATTATAAAATAGTTTGTGAAAGAAGACATAGTTTGTGAAAGAATGGGGCGCTTTGATGACGCGGGCGGGAACGGCGTTAGTCTTAGAAGCTTGACGTCAATTTCGAAGTAAAACACCAAAGTGCTTCAATAAACGAGATTTGTTTTTAATGTATGTACCAAGAATATGCATGGCGTCAATTCAGCTACCTTATTCTTTCAAACTATGGCCAATTCACAAAATATATCGGATTTGAAAGCTACCTAAGGACGAAACCACAGCGCAGATGAACCATACAACCAGACTCATGCCCACACTGTTAGTTGCAAGTAGGACACCTTTCGGTGAGATGAAGATCCCAGATCCAATCATCGCTCCTATGATCAGAGACACCGCTCGGACTAATCCAATCTCCCTTTTCAGCTTGACAGTGCTGTCCATGTTTTCATTCTCATCGCAGGTATTCGACGACTCCAAACTCCCTCTATTTCTGGGCTCTCCCGACCCTTTCTTCTCATTCATGGCCTGTAAAAGCATCAATTGAGTAGTATTGAAAGAAAAATCAAAACCAAATATTTAGCCTAATGCATTTGATAAACTTTACCGACAACAAATACCAGATGAGCACGGTTCGGGTGAGGTGTGCTCATCTAAATCTTTGTGTTAACTTACAGCGCATTATGGGCTCTGTGCACAAGTACCCCATCAACGGCCAGAAAAGGAGAATTGTGGGTGACCCAGACTGGTTCCTGATCCATTCACTGCGTATTTTGAAAGTATCCAAAGTTATTGGAGGCGGGGATAGTCTCAGAGACCATCGCAAGTTGAATTCGGACGTATGTACTTTCGCACATTTAGGAGGTCGTGCGTACTTCGCTTGCAAACCAGTACAGTACAGTACGCGCCTGCTGTGTGTCCCTCCACGGAGCTCTCAAAAGAGGTCAAAACGCGCACTCTTGTTGGCGCTTGTGTTACTATACGAGCGCGTAATGCACGTTACAAATTATGACAGGTTGCATTTCTTTTTTTCATTTTAAAGACCTACGTGTTCTATATCTCCATTTTTCGAAATATTCACACAACATAACGGTAAATAATATCGCCTTGTTAAAGAACAATTCTGTAATAAAAGTTAAAACACGGATAAACTTACATCAGCTGTCATGGTGGTTGTGATCCGAGGTAGTCAGCACAGCTATGATGTCGATGCTGCACTTTGTGCACGGATTATTCTAAAGAACTACATTGTACCGGCTCGCCCATGCAATCAAAGCGTAAGATCACGGAGTGAAGCAAGCGTTTGTGGGAACCCTGCAGGTAGGTATTCATTCTTCTGTTTGTTATTCAGTACTCGATTGCCGAACAATTGGATCAAAGTACGAGGTGGGTTGGGTAAACTCGGAACGGTAACGTGGAAAGGTCATGCACCCTACCACAACAAACAATAATCCTGCCACAGGGGCAGATTTACTGCGAAGCGTATTATATATAATTATTTCTAAAGTGAAGACGCAGAAGATCAATAGACCATTATCATGTTGCGTCTTGATTTTTTCCCAAACAAAATCAACGCAACCAAAGCGAGGATGGAAGCTTAGCAAACAGTCTGGTTCCTTTTTGCACAAAAAACATCATCAATCAGGGGTGCACACCGGTAAATATGCCTATTCGCCCAGCTCGTGAATAAAAGTTATAAACTCAAAATAGTCTATATTAGAGAGTTCGGAGAGCCATAAAATTGGGGAATTGAAGAGATATGGCAATGAACCTCTGACCCGGACCTGAGGCTTCCAATTCTGAGCATTTTGGAAGCAATTGGGCTCAAAAGTGGCGCTATTTTGCCATGTTGTGGAGGGATCGTTTTTCAAGATGGCAACCTTTTCGCGGTCCCTGCCAATAATTGGGCAATGTATGCGGCCTAGCTGTAATTTAACCTATGATGTAAAATGATGTGCAGACAAACCGTAAAAGTAGTACGACAACCAACGACGATGGTCAACCTTTGATTAATTTCAAAATCACTGTTTCAACTGTTTCAAGCGAGGATGGAAGCTTAGCAAATAGTCTGGTTCCTTTTTGCACACAAAAAACATTATCATTCAGGGGTGCACACCGGTAAATAGGCCTATCCGCCCAGCTCATGAATAAAAGTTATAAACTCAAAATATTCTATATTAGAGAGTTCTGAGAGCCATAAAATTAGGGAATTCAGCATTCATCGTTACTTTACGTCCAGTTACTTTTAAACCACATTTTATTGAAATAATAAAATATTGTCACGAAAATGAAAGTAAAAGTAAATAACAATTCTATTTACATTTTTAAAGCGTTTGAATTGCATTCGTTTTATTGAATTGCAATACAAATACTTCAGCAACATAACTTTACACTTTTCACTGATTCCTCAAAATTAAAAAAATTACATTATAGGAAAAATAAAAATGTGTACTCATTCTTTTAGATCAGCTGTCGAGACAAAAAAACAAGGCTACAACCTAATATATTAAGCCAAAAAAAGTCTCTGGTTTCTGGTATGCGCGCGCGTCGCCGTAGCCATGCGCGTCGGCAAAATGAAAAAGTTGTTTTTCCAATGAAAGATGATGTCTCAAAACCGCTAAAGACACTGGTTTGACTGGAATCCTGCTGCTGCACAATTTTAACGTGTTTTTTACATGGGGTTACGGCCGAGAATGAGCTTTATTTGGCCTCTCTGGACTCCCATATATTTGCACTTAGTTTAGTCGGGCACCAGTTGCAGTCATCAGCCGACATTTGAAGAAGAAAAAAAACTGTAAAAAAAAAAAAAAGCCTCGTCGCCGCACCACTGTTTGGGCAAACTCCATAACAGAAACCGGAGACTTTTTTTTCTTGGCCTAAAGCAAATGTTACTTAATTTTTACGGGCTATGTGCTATTATATTATCCTACAAGGGACAACATCCACCACAGCAACTGTGACAGGCTATAGCACCATACGGGATATGGGGCTGGGGCGTAGCGGCGCCTGTTGTACCCCTGGACCATTATATCATTAATATAATTCAATAATCTCACCATAAACTATATTAGAAACAAGTTAAACCCGAAAATAATTATTTGTTAGTGAAGATCATACCACTTCTCGTGATGCACACATCCATTTATATGTACAAGAAAATGTTGCGGAGAAAACTCTGAATCGACTATCATCTTTACATCAGTTAGATACCTTTTAAACCAATATTTATATTCAAACAAATCTGTTCACTGTTTGCGTGAAGTTTATAAACAACATTACCCCAGTTAAATTGAAATTTGTACTGAAAGTATATTTTAGATCAGCCGTCAAGAAAGAGAAAACCCATCCATAACCTGAATAAGTAAATATCACTTGATTTGTGCAAGCCATTCTACCATCCTTCACGGCAAAATCTCCACCACAGTAGTTGCAGCAGGCTGTAGGCCCTTCTCGGGAAAATAGGCGTGGCTGCACATGACCAGTCCAGGCAGCAGTGTTGTAGGACTCGAGTCCAGGACTCGAACTCGAGTCGGACTCGAGTCACATTTTTTGCGACTCGGACTCGACTTGAGTCACATTGGAAAATGACTCAGACACGGACTCGACCATGATGACTCGGACTCGAGCTTGGTGACTCGTGACTCGAGTCACGTATTTTCATCAAAAAGAAACAAACGTAACGTTACGTATTTGGGAGACGACCGTAGCATTCTTTTTGACTCCATGGACAAAACACGGCGCTGCGGTAAATCGTATCCAGGGGCCGCGCACGCACGCCTGGCGCCTGCTCGACGAGCACCAGGGCCCGGTGTCGTATGCTAAAAAGTGTCCAGTATTAAAAAGGAAAACACATTTTGGGTCTAAACAACATGTATACACACAAGGTAAACTATATACACTGGGATTTACTTAAAAGACAGACTGGATAATTGAAAAATATTTTTAAAAAATGATTAGTTTGGCGAACAACAGTCTAAAAAAACAAGTGAATCGTGACTCAGACTCGAACTCGAGACTAAGCTTGTGACTCAGGACTCGGAGTCAGACTAAGCATTGGTGACTCGACTACAACACTGCCAGGCAGCATCTTAAGCACGTGATGGGCCGACGAGAAACAACTTCTGACAAAATACAGTCATTTGATCTGCAAAGAAACATGGAGAAAATATTCGATTCTGTCACAAACAGGAAATTCATTGGCCTCAAAATATAAGATAGGTCAAATTTTAAATCATGATAAATATTCTCCCCGTTTATATTGTCAGACTGCAGTCCTGAATCACAACTTCTTCATTTTAATGCCTGTGTAAACATTTTAGGCAAATCAAATTTAACAGGAGGGGGGGGGAACAAGTCTAGTACGTACCCATGAAAGGAAGCTGTCGTTTTCCTCGTACGAACACGATGTAGACCAGGAGGCCCAATGCAAGTAACACGAATGCGTACAGGTACTCTAGCTTGGGATCGGAGATAATTGGTGCCAGAACCATAAAGATAGAGGCAATGATTGCAAGGATGGGAACCAGACTATTAACCTGCATGAACAAAAAAGAGGATATGGAACCAGACTGTTAATCAGAAAGTTAAGTAGGTTAGGAATAAGACTACAAATCTGTATGTAGTCTTATAACCTAAATAACCTTAGGGGAGTCAAGTTGGCGTAGCGGTACTTTCCTCGCCTTCGAATCCCGCCTGGGCCAATAATGTTGATTGGGGTTTTAGTCCCTGCCTGATTCCGTGGGTTTTCCCCAAAATATTCTTCTGGCGTTTTCCTCCTACCTCTAAAACTGTAATTTTGTTCTCAGTTGTCTAATTCTCTGCACGTTTCTTCAGGCTTTTGAGCTACAGTGCCTAGGGCACGTTTGAGGAATCCTTGGTTTCAGGACCAGAAATAATTGTTTTGAATAATAATAATACTAATAATTAAATATAACTTTAGGTTACTTTTGACTTATTTTTTACTGTAAGAGGACTTCATCGAAATCTCCATTTCTTCAATCTGTTGTCATAATCCACATTGGTAAACATGGTGCTTAGAGTTTTAACCCTTTATTGTACCAACTTTATACTCGGTAAGTTTAAGACATGTTAAGATTTTCGATACCATATGAAAGCATGTTAGTGCCATCACTAACTTTTAAAAAAGTCAAACATATGTTTTAAAGTTTGTTTTCCTGAAACAGGTGAAAAAGGGTGATAAAAGTTTGTATTTTACAGCCTGTAATTCGACTTGTACCCGATAAGTCAAATTTACACTTGATCGTTAAACAGGCTTTCGCCATGTACCATATCTGATTTTCAAGTCTTAACACAGCTTTTACAGTGTGTAAGTTTCAACACCGTAATGATTTTAAATATGTCATTGTGTTTAACAACTTAAGACGTTTATTTCTACAGTTTTCTTCACCCTCTTTCAGCAACAATAAAAATAGAAGATGGCTGGGTGGAAAGAAAACTGATTAAGATGGACTACACTGATCTGTGAATGATCTTAAAAGTTTGTCATACATTTAAGAGTTATTCGACATACCTTAAAAGGTCTGGGTGTATCTGGATATTTGCGTCGCAGCACAAATACTGCCGCAAATGCAGCCAGAAAGAGAATCCACTGAACGATGCTACCGTACACGATGATGGAATTGAAGTCACCCATCAGGATCAGTACGATCGCAACGAGTCCCTAGAATTAGAATATGCAGAAAAACTCATGATGCCTCGTTATTATCACAGGCCTAATTACACGCCTTATTATGACATTGTAAAAATATAATTGTAAATCTTGTAGGCCATTGGAAAGAACTCAAGATTCCCGTTCATAGAGATTCTCGTTAATATAAATTGTTTTTAAACAAGAATAAGGGCTTTCTATATACCTAAATTGTGTGGAGCTGTGATTAATACAGTTATCGTAATTGCTTTCAAAGGTATTTGCTGGTAGGCCTACCTCATACGGGGTACGACAAGCCGTTAAGAAATACAAGTATTTAAAAGTATTTATTCATTTACCTGTAAAAGAATAGCAGGCAGTGGGGTATGATACTTGACACTGACCATAGATAGGATCGATAACATATGGCCTTCTCGTCCTGCAGCAAATGCAGTCCTGATGGTGAATAATATAATAATGCAAACAACGTAAAGAAACAAACGGCTGTTTGTGTATTATTTTGTTCATTCATGCAACATTCGCTGAATCACCTCCGTTCGCCAATTTGAAAATAGTTTCGTCTGACTTTTTTCGGAATCGTGCGGCAACTGTAAAAGCTCTGTTACACGCAAAATGGCAATTAATTTACTTCAAACACAATAACTAGGCACAGCGCTGACGATATGCTACAGGTAAAATAGATCATTTTCAGTCGCTACGCCAACGTACGCTACCTAAAAGGAGTGCTTAAAGCTAGAGTCCATCATTTGCAGCCATCCGAAAAGTAACCGGCGTAATTATTTTTGAAAATCAAACTTTGTTGAAAGATAGTAAGGGAACTAAACTCCCTGTGAAATTATTCTTTCTGGGAAGCTGTCATTTTGAAGTAATCAACTTAAGAAGCACCGTATGAAAATTTAAATTAGTAGTTCGTTTTGTTATTCAGCGCAGCGCGCACAAGTATTGGAACGACGCACACGCGCGCGCGGTTGTTATAATTCGTTGGATCAGTGCGCGACGTTGCGTATAGCTGCAATTCAAAACAATTCAAAACATGATTCAGTAACTTTTGATTTTAAATTGAGATCTTAGCATGCTGTTTTTTCTCGGAACGTACAGCTGAAGCTTAGCTGACACTTCATCAGGTTAGTTGCTCAGTATCCTTCATTAGATTTTGAACTCTTTTGTTGCTTCAAACGAACAAAATGCACAAATTACAAATGATGGACTGTAGCTTTAAGTTACGCTTTAATTTGTTGTTAAAGTCGTGGATTTTGGTACTATTACACTTTTGTGAAACTGTCATAACTGAAATGTTGCGCAACGTGAACTTTTGCGCGACGTACGTAATATTGTCGATTTACGCCATTGTGTAACGTGTCATGAAATCAGCTTCAGGACCGTAATGAAGTTTGAAGTACACGTTAGCCCTGCGTTATCAATCATATTTGCCCTTAATAGTTTAACTGTAGTTAAAGGGGCTCACACCACTTTATCTGGCTATGTTTGAATGAGGAACTTGTCAAATATGAAGTTTTTTACAGGAAAAATCGCGTACTTTACAGCGCCCTCATAGTCCTCAACCGAGTATACACGTGCCACACCCTCATAGGATGGCCTCAAACCCACATCAGCAGAGGGCGTATTTGATGTGTAATTTGTCTTTACCTTGGTCCGGACAAGAAACTGCCCAATAGGGTGCCCGCAGTGGAGATACACACTCCCAACGGGACCAGCCAAGCCATGATTCCAAGGGTTCGCTCCGCAAACGTCTAATCAAAGAACGGTATAAAAAAGACCTGTAAAATTCTACCTAATCTATTATCAGTTAATGTATTTGCAATTGATAAAGAAACCCCAGCCGAAAAAAAAACTTATGATAAATGACAATTATGATCGTGATAATGCATTTTTGCATCAACACTGGAGGATTAGTGTCAGTCAAATAGCAAATGTCGGTTGATGGAAACAGTTATTTACTATAAAAATTCAATATCGTACCACTGCGACTGCACTGGAAGCAAGCAGCTCATTGGGTGAGAGTACGGTGAAATATGCGATATTAGTCAGCAGGTAAATGGCGGTCACAATCGGTACGGCAATGGCGATTGACAACGGCAGGTCTCTGGAAATGACAATGATTAAATTGGACACTGCAATAATGCCTGACGTCGGGGTAGGACATTTTGATGCTATATTTTATGTAAAGTTGAATCCTCTGATAGTCATTTCAAATTGTTGTTGAACAAGTTTATAACTGCTATCCTTGTAAAGACCAAATGCAAGATCAAGACCCAGATTAGTAGCAATGTAATGGACACATCTGCAGACTTCTTTCTGCAACTTAGCAAACTCGTCCCGAGTGCTTACTTTATTTCTAACCTCGTTTCAAATAGTCAGCACTGGATAGGAAACTTTCTTCCTGTGTCCTGATTTGACACCACAATTGGCTAGTAATAGATTTATATCGTGTACTTGGTGTCATTATTTACAACGTGCAGTACGTGTTTTCAAGATCATTGTAATTTTCACGTTCACGCCTTCTCAAAAATACTCATTTCCTTTCCAATTTGCTGATATTAATATGAAATGTGATACTGCATATTGGCGGGACAAGATTATGTCATTTTAACTTCGAAAACAATCGTGTTTTCGTAACTAAGGGCGTACGTTCGAATTGATTATATTTTTATCCCAGACACCGCATACAAAAACAAACGCTAATGTAACGCACAGAAGGGCACCAGACTATTCCACATTGGCATACGTATTTTTTCATGCAGATGATCAAATACCAGGGTGAGACAGCAGGTAGTGGTGGGCGCGTTCTGCTCGACACCCTGGGGACGAGGTTGGGCAAATTAGGTACTTACCTGTATGCTCGAAATTCTGAATAGCTGAGCACCTGGCTGGATTGTCCTTGTGCTCGCTATTGGTTTGTTTAGGTGTGGCTCACCTGCCAAGTATTTGTAGTGAACTTGTGCACGTGTGTACCGTAATGGCAAAACGGCAGCCATAGTGTGGCAACTGTATACTGTTACCTTTGCTAAGGTTAATACTTCGTTTTATTTTATCTAATTTAGACATATGACCTAGACGTTTGAGAGACATTTCAGCAATTATTGTGCTAGCCTTAGTCAAGGCATTCGTCATTATCTGTCAGTGTTCGGCGACATATCCTCACCGTGCGCTGCTGATCGCTATGTTGTTGCATGCAGCAGTGCATATAAATTACAGCGCGAACAGCCACCTCATGCGGCCACTATTTATATGCAAATCATTTGGATCTAGACTTATTTGCACATGTAAATAAGTGGCTGCATGAGGTCGCTGTTCGCACTGTATTTTTCATGCACTTCATAGCGAGGATATGCCGCCGAATACATACGGATGGATATTGACGATAGCCTTGGCCAGTGTTATTATTTTTCTAGGCAAATGATTTATGTTGTGTACTTCAGGAGCTCATTATCAGGCTGTTTGTGCAACTTCTATGTCCACAGAAATAGATGATGCTGTAATGTTGACATGAATACAATTCAACCGTGTTAGCAATCAAGCAATTATGTCTAATTTGAACGGTTTGGCTGGGCCACTATATTCATATTAATGTTTTTGGCAAAAAAAAACCGAATTATAAAATAAACATCCTACAGCTTCCTTTTCGGTACCATATAAAAAATTATGAACAAACAGGAATACAAACCAACCTTGCAGGATTCTTCAACTCCTCCATCAAATTGTTGACATAGTCCCTATTTGAAACAAAAGTAACAAACGATTCAAATTGACTGACTAATTCACAATGCCTTTAGTTTTTTTTGTGGAATCAGCAACATTCCATGATACAGCTAAGGCCAAAAAAAGTCTTCGGTTTCTGGTATGGAGCTTGCCCCAAAAGTTGTGCGGCGACGCGGCTTTTTTTTTACCATTTTTTTCTTTAAATGTTGGCTGATGACTGCAAATAGTGCCCGACTAAATTTAGTGCAAATATTATGGGAGTCCAGAGAGGCTACATAAAGCTTATACTCGATCGTAAACCCATCTAGAAACACGTTAAAAATTTGCAGCAGCAGGATTCCAGTCAAACCAGTGAGTTCTGTGGTTTTGAAACCTCATCTTACATTGAAAAAAAACTTTTAATTTTGCCGACGCGCATGGCTACGGCGACGTGCGCGCATACCAGAAACCGAGACATTTTTTTTGGCCTAATGAGTATCGTGTATGAACCAGTGTTGTAATGGACTCACTTGTCTGAGTCAAGCCAAATCCCGAGTCTCGACTCGTTGCGGGCGAGTTCAAGTCCGAGTCTTGAGTCAATTGGTTCTGGCCGAGTCTAGTCCTAGCCCCACAAATGTGGCTTAAATGCGAGCCTTGGTCAAGGCGTTCGTCATTATTCGTCCATACGCGGTAAAATGATCGGCAGCATATCCTCGCTATGCATGCAGTTCATAAAAAAATACAGCGCGGACAGCAACCTCATGCGGCCACTATTTTATGCAAATCAGTTGGATCCGATCGAACGCCTCGGTCCAATCGTCCGCGAAAGCTTTTGTTTCTCTTTATTTGTGCTAGATTTCTAGCGCACGACCTCATATGCAAATACAGATAAGTGAAGGCGGGGCTAATATGTGGAGTGTCCAATCACACCTTGGTAAATCCCGACGTCATCAATTTTTGCAGCTATTCGCATTTTGCCGACGTGTCAGAAACCACATTTTTTTGTGCAATGGTGCTGTGAGTAATAAGACATACAACGTGTGTGTATACAGTACATGTCACACGTTATCGCTATAATGAACTGTCACCGCTATGCAAATTTCCACGTAACGATCGACCAATAAGAAAACAACTTTTAAGTTCAGCTTAGGCTATTAGCATAATAAGCACTTCCCCCAAAACCTCACATGGACGATTGGACCAAGGCGTTCGTCTGGATCTAAATGATTTGCATAAAATATCGGCCGCATGAGGTCCCTCGACCCCTCGACCAAGGCTACTTAAATGCTGGACTTCCTCTGCTTGAGACCATGGGTTATGATACTCGTGGTTTCCACTGCGCGTGCGTCAACTTTTATAGCAACGTGCATCGGTGGCTGTTACCTGTCATTCAGTAATCATCGGTCTAAAATGCACGCGCAGTGGAAAACATGAGTATCACGACCCATGACCTCAAGCAGATTACTGGAATATGACGCTACGTGCTTCCATTCTGCCCGAATGCCGTCCGAAATTTACCAGAAATTACAAAAAAACTAGACCTCTGAAGGTATGTTTGCTAATAAGCAGTTCAGTATTGGTTTTGGTGATGAGGCCTATATAGTGACAAAATTTTTATTTGATATTCTGCTACCCTTGCAACAGACCTTTTCACAAATGTTGGTAAAACCGGTTGTGTGTCTTACTAATATTGAGAAAGAGTCCATTATTTAAGCCACATTTATGAGGCTGCCGAGTCCGAGTCACGAGCCATTTTGATGCAAGTATGTAAATGGAGAATATGTAAATGATGCACTGTCATGGGAAATATGGAAGGGCGCATATACATGACAAACATTATTATTTGCAACACTACATGGACATGTGCGGTACAGTCGATGTGATTAACGTTCTTCAGTTTTGCTTTTACGTTACTTTCGGAAAAAAATATCTGAATTATGTTTTTCAAAGGTATTTTTGGAGTTAAACAAAATACGTGAATCACGAGTCACGGTTCATTAGCGTGAATTACGAGGCCTAATGTTTTGTGTCCGAGACCCACTCCGAGTCTTTTGCCGATGTGACTCGAGTCGAGTTCGAGTTAACACAATTTCGACTCGAGACGGATTCGAGTCCCAGCCAAAGCAGCTGGACTTGAGTCCTACAGCACTGGCACGAATTTATAAAGTCACTTTGGAAGCGAACATGTTCTCTCGTACTCACCAACCAGAGTAGGCCCAAAACCCATAGTACAGTGCCGTACCGTAACCTAGGATCTGCGTGGTAGATCCTTGGAATGATACTTCTGGATTCAGATACTGTGTTCGCCCTGAAAAATAAAAAAGTGCACACTCGTAGTACAAACAACTGTACGTTTTTATTAGGCCTATACAATGATTCGAAAAAAGACTTGATTTCGAACCAGTTGTAAATCAAGGGGAGTCGAGGTTTCGATCCTCCTCCAATGAAGAAAAATGGGGAAAAGGAAAAGAAAAACGTAAAAAAGCGAGCATCCAAAATGCATTTAATCTTTTAATACAGGTATTATGGCACCTGCCTGGAAGGGACTTAATTGCGGCTGCGCGGTTATACACCCATTGTACATAATCAGCGCTACCAATCGTTGGTTAGTGTTTAATCCCATTTTCCCCCTGGTTTTCGAAATTTCAGGGGGAAAAAACGAGTAACTCCCTCCCCCCCCCCACGAAAAATTCTCGCTTTTAAATGATTTTAAAATTTATGGATAGAAATGATAAGCTGAACCTGAGTTTCATTAAACACTTACTATATATGACTTGAAGCTTTGCATGGCGGATGAAATAAAACTGAGAGGAAATTTTCGGTAACATCATGTGGAAAGAAATCTCTTCTTGGAAGAAATGTGGTTCTGAAAGGAACTGGTTGGCTGTCCGTCCTGAGGACGGACAGAACACACTGTCCGAAACGTCGAGTTATACACTCAACCAACCGGTTCTATTCAGAACCACACCACTTCTTCCAAGAAGAGATTTCTTTCCACATGGTGTTACCCGAAAATTTACACTATTTTAAACACTAACTACTTACACCGCCTCGGTATATGAAACAGGTTTTTTTTAAATTTACCTTTAAATAACTGCACAATGCCTGCAGCAATTATTATCAGCAAAGCTACGACTTTGGAAATGGTCAAAATAACGACTCCTCCACTGGAGTAACGAACACTGACACAGTTGACGAACATCATGACCGCTGTTGAGAGGATCAAAACAACGAGCATCAGTGAAAACGGAACTAATGTAGGTCTATTCCGATTTATAGATAAACGTTATCAAATGAACAGACGTCAAATTAATAATACCTACCCAATACGAGTAGCCAAAGTTGGGCAAAGTAGACTGGAGTAAATTGGTCAGTCGCGCCGATCTCCTATGCTTACGTCGAACATGTTGATTCAACATGCTCTCAACCAGGCGCGGTTCTAGAACCAATATTTTTTTGGGGGGGGGGGGCTCGCACGGTGGATCCAGAATTTTTTCAGGAAGGCGGTTATTTTTTCCAGACACTTAGGCCTCCGAAAATCCAAGGGGGGGGGGGGGGGGGGGGCTCTTGCCAAATTTTCAATGGGGAGCGCCGATAAAATCCTAAAAACCTTCACACTATATTAACTAATGCACCCTTGTCACGGCTATTTCTTCTTTAGGGGGAGGCCGTTCGCATACACATCACAATTCTTCTTTTTGCTAATGCAATTATTTTTAAGGAATTTATTTTTGGGGGGGGCTAGACAAAATTCGGGGGGGGGGGGGGGGGGCTACAGCCCTCCCCCCCCCCGGCCCCCGTAGAACCGCGCCTACTCTCGACTGCACTTGGTTCTCAGTTGTTCAATTCAAGGTCTACTTTATTAATACTGTTGGCAGGTGTGTCCTGCGATTGACGTCGTTATTACTGACAAAGACAGACTAGCGAATGCAAGGGGTGGATCTCTGAAACCTTTGATGTAATACCTCGGGCCTATTTCAATCGGATTAGAGGAGGGTCCAGGCTGCCGACTCATAAGAAGGACAAGGATGACACTTGAGTGGTTATAATCACTGTCACCATATAATTTGTTGGTGCATTGGCAGAGATGGCTGAGAGTTGACCATGATGTCGATGTTGGAGTGATGATAGCCGTGTTAAGAGGTGGACGTACAAAGAGTTTACTGGATAGTAGTGACACATGATGTGAACTTCAAAGCGTATATTTACGGTGGCCCACAACTGTCACGGCAAAAGCAAAAGCGCCACGGCAAGCGCAATAGCGCCGCGGCAAGCGCAACAGCGCCACGGCAAGTGCAACAGCGCCACGGCAAGCGCAAAAGCGCCACGGCAAAAGAAAAAGCGCCGCGGCAAAAGAAAAAGCGCCGCGGCAAAAGAAAAAGCGCCACGGCAAAAGAAAAAGCGCCGCGGCAAAAGAAAAAGCGCCGCGGCAAAAGAAAAGGCGCCGCGGCAAAAGAAAAAGCGCCACGGCAAAACAAAAAGCGCCGCGGCAAAAGAAAAAGCGCCACGGCAAGCGCAAAAGCGCCACGGCAAGCGCAAAAGCACCACGGCGAAAGCAAAAGCGCCACGGGTTTATTGGGAAGGGGCGTAATCATACATTCCGCTACTATATCAATAAATAAAATGGGAAGGAGAATGGCCGCCACCAGGAATTCTTATTAAAGGGAATATACATCATTTGCTTTTGCTGTAATTTTCAGAAATGGATGGAATTGGGGGGTTGGAAATATATAGCAAATATAGTTACACTGACTTTTTTGAGGTTTTGGGTTCGAAAAAGCTATAAAAACCAAGAAAAACAATCATTTTCCTGTAGTCTGGCTCCCTGACTCCATTTAAGAAGAAACAGAGCAGTTTACATACATTGGGGAATTGTAAGGTCAGGGAACCAGTCTAGCTGGTTTGTACCCGTTCATAGGTGTGTAATCGATTGCAAACAAGTGTGATGGTCAACTGGGGCCAGTATTTGAAAAAAAGCCAGTTTTTTTCCAACGCTGGTCGGCCGATCAGCGTTGGAAATTGATACAAAAATACCACTTTTCTTGAAAATGACAGTATACCAGGTGCCATGATTTTACAGGATGCTTTACACTGTCATTCACTAACAGTCCAGCAAGGTATTTCAAAATGATTTGGTAGTTTTATTTTTTGATGTTTGCAAATGTTGTATTTTCCCTTTAAGCACAGAATTTAATTCTTTGAGAAGTGATTTTATGGCTGAGAAAATAGCAAGGCCAAGGAAAACCGGTCAGTGCAAGCAACGTTCAGGAAATAAATCGTCGATATTAATTTGTTGTAGGATAATTATTATTCCAAGGGAGTTGCTGCCGGGAATCAGAGTTTATAAAGGAGTGGGACTCACTATCAGCACCATCAGGGCCGTTCCTCATTTCTTTACATTTCGTGGGATGCAAACAATTAGGGAGGACGGGAGGCTCTGTGAGCTGATGCATTTTTTAAAGATTTTTTTCCTTCCGACTAGCATGCAGAGAAGAGTTCCGTTAATTTGAGACTTAGTCCACCCATGGGCGTCGCGAGGGGAGCAAGGGGGCGCTTCCCCCCCCCCCCCTGGAATAGCACACAAAAAAGGAAGGGGAAAAAAAGAGAAAAAAAGAAAAGAAAAAAAGGCGCGAAGTCATAGTGGTGTAAATTGAATAAGTTGGGTGGGGGGCAAAATGTCCCTGCCCCCGTCTAAAACTGAGAAATCGAGAATTTGTTCAGAAATACAAGAATTTTTTGGGGAAAATATGTTTTGCCCCCTCTAGACAAAATCCTGACGACGCCCATGAGTTCACCGGTGTGTATACCAGTGTAGGCACACAATTGAGCTGCCTAGAGTTTGGATATAGAATAAGAAAGAAAGAAATTAACTTAGAACCTAGAACTCATTTGCCCACCCACCCCCGGCTCCAGAAACCAAGAAGCCGAACAAGACCTCATGATGCTCAGCGATAGCGATGATGAGTTGCCCTGTGGACAGTCTGATCGAATCAGCCTGCAGGGCAGAAAGAGGTCTTGTTTCCGGCATCAAATAGTTCCGTATTCACTCGAAACAAAGCAAACGGCTCTTTTCAGAGCCACCAAATTTTCATAGAAGAGCTTAAAACTGTGCATCTGAACGATAACACTTCTCCTTTGTTTAGTGTCTCTCCCTTACCCCCCCCCCTTTTTAAAGTTAATTAGCTGTTTCGGTGTACACACCGAAACAGCTCTTGTTTTCGTTAAGATTTTTTTTTCTTTTTTTTGGCTTTTTCGCAAAATTTGCGAAAAAGCCTTTCTTTTTGTTCTCATTTTTTTTTTTTTTTTTTTTCATCATCTTCTTTCTTCTTTTTGTCGCCTAAACCCCATAGACTTTGTGTACGTTTTTTCTGGCCTCCACTTTTGGCATTAATCTTTGTCATACATCATTCTAAGTTTGCATAAGCATAGTCACAATAGCAAAGATGTGTCCCGAAGATTGACGTCATGGTGACGTCATCGACTAATTTATTATAGATTTTTGAATATTTAATTTCTCCCATAGACTTTGTACACAGAAATTTAGAAAAAATTGTCGATTTTCAAAGGGCATTTTTGACTCTTTGCCAGTAATTCATTTGCACCAATCTTTGTCCAAGCAAAGACCCTAATTCAAACAATATTGTGTAATGATGACGTCATGATTACGTCATCCGGTGTCTATTTATAGGCAATTAAATTGTGACACTTTTAATATTTAAAAATGCATAAGAAATCAACCGTACGCGTCCGCAGCATTCTGTTACCGGCAAGTGTTAGAGTAGGTTAAGGTCTTTATTTCATTCAGTGTGCGTGAAATCACGTGACCCTTGCTTCCGGTCGAAAAAGGCCAAAACCGGAAGTGGCCTTTTATTTAAAAATGGTAATAGATATGAACTTGCTTTTAACGGTGTGAGTCTCTTGGCTAAAAGTTTTCTTCAAATCATCTACCAATGACGTCATGCAATCTTCGAGTACCCTCTAGCGACAGGTTGAAAATTAGCAAAAATGTATTTTGAATAGATGTCTGTGGCGAAGTTTGTTGGAATCGCCTAAATATTAGTGTATATGATGACCTTGACCCACTAAAGGTGTGTGCGAAGTTTTAGGCGAATGACGTCATCAGACCGGAAGTTATAATAAAAAGACCCTTTTTCACTTGAAAATTCCTGAAAAATCAACCATGGCAGTTTTTATGTTAGTTTTTACTTTAATTGTCGATTTAAGGGTAGGTCTAAAACATTTCAAGGCTTCGAGGCAATAAGCGAACTCGAACATGCCCTGCGCACGCTTAAAACTTTGATCAGGTTGACAATACCTCTGCTCTAAAACATGCACAGAACGCCTATATGTACATACACGTACGTTACGCACATACATGTACATCGTATGTCAGTCAGCCTGCAGAGCACGTGTTGCCGAGGTCAAATCCTGTCCACATCACAGTGACCGTTTTAGCCGATTTTCAGCTAACTTTGACAGATTTTATGTTCATGCATGCGCATAGTCAGGGACGTATAATAAAAAATCATCATGCCGAAAAGCCCTACGTTACGTATTTAAAGGTGCAGTTTTTCTGCAGTGGGATTTTCCACAAGTCTTTTCCTATACAACACTGATATCTTACTGAGTAGTTCTGAACTTCAGCCGAGAATTACTATGAGAAGGAAAGAGAAATCGTGTTTTTTTTTCGGGCTGTCATTCAATTGAACATATTCCTAAGGGTCAGAATATCAAGTAATATTTCATAAAAATGTTTCAGTTCAAAGGCAAATTACAAATTTAAAGGTGCAATTTCTCTGCATGGGATTTTTTTTAGCCCGTTAACGTTGTACACGTGTTAGCCCATTGACTTTGTACACGTTTTCAAGCCACCATTTCTTTAACTTGCTTCTGGAATCGTCATCAATGTTACAGCCAAGGAAGACCCTCATACAAAAATTATGCCTAGACTATGACGTCATGATGACGTCATCACCTTATTATTTTTTTATTGATTTTTGAAAATTTACGTGCATATTATGAAGTCCTATATCTACAGAACTGTAAGTCTGATTGGGTTGAAACTTGGTATGTGGCTAGACCGGGATGTGTTATAGGTAAAAAAAAAAAGTATTTGGTAAAAGGTATTTGCACAAAATTTTGAAAACAATATCTGACATCATTATGACGTCATAAAAATGCGATTTTTCAAAATACATATAAGGAAAGGTCTGGCTGTCATGAAACTTAGTGGGTAGGTAAATAATGGTACTAGTATACAAAGTTTAAAGTGACGTCACGATGACGTCATCGTTTGGTTTTTATAATTTTTAGATATTTATAATTTTATTCTACTTCCACAAATTGCACTTTCTTTCATCGGATTGACATTAAACTTGGTTCAAACCAAAATCACAATGACAAAATGTGCATTGAGAAGGGTCTTAAGGATGACGTCATTGCAGGGCAAGTGACATCATTTGATAAAATTATACTTTAGGAATTATTCTAAGCGTTTTGAACAACCTTTCACTGCATGAAGTACTCTGAAAAGTGACTGCAAAAGGACAAACGAAACAAATATTTGTAAAATGCGAAAAAGCCCTGTGTTCTGTTTGCAAACAGACATACAGCTCTAGTTTTTTTTTCTTATTTGTCCACTTTTTGTCATATGTTTTGTACACGCTTTTCTTCTACCCATACACTTTGGCATTTTCGTAAATGCCATCGACTTCAGACTTGGCACACACTTAGACCACCACCCACAGATGGTCCTAGAAGAAATTTGTGATCGTGACGTCATCAGGTGTCGGGTTACGTCACATTAAAGATGCATTTTTCCCCATATGTTTTGTACACGTTTTAAAACACTCCAGTTTGGCATCTTCGTAAATCCGATCGACTTTAGACTTAATTCATACTTAGACCACCACCCACATGTTGTCCTAAACGAAATTCGTGATTGTGACGTCATCAGGTGTCAGGTTACTTCACATTAAAGATGCACATTTTCCCCATAGGTTTTGTACACGTTTTAAAACACTCCAGTTTGGCATCTTCGTAAATCCGATCGACTTGAAACTTAATTTTTACTTAGACCACCACCCACATGTTGTCCTAAACGAAATTCGTGATTGTGACGTCATCAGGTGTCAGGTTACTTCACATTAAAGATGCACATTTTCCCCATAGGTTTTGTACACGTTTTAAAACACTCCAGTTTGGCACTTTCGTACATCCAATCGACGTTACACTTAGTACACACTTAGACCACTATCCACAGATGGTCCTAGAAGAAATTCGTGATCGTGACGTCATCAGGTGTCACGTTACTTTACATTAAAGATGCACATTGTCCCCTCTGGTTTTGTACATGATTTAAAACGCTCCACTTTGGCACTTTCGTAATTTGATCGACTTTATACTTGGTACACACTTAGACCACTACCCATAAATGGTCATAGAAGAAATTCGTCATCGTGACGTCATCAGGTTTCAGGTTACGTCACATTAAAGATGCATTTTCCCCATAGGGTTTGTACACGTTTTAAAACACTCTACTTCGGCACTTTCGTAAATGCGATCCATGTTAGACTTGGAACACACCTAGACTACCACCCACAGATGGTCTTAGAAGAAAATCGTCATCGTGGCGTCATGAGGTGTCAGGTTACATCACATAAAAGATGCATTGTTTCCCTATTGGTTTTGTTCACATTTTTCTTCAAACTGATACACTTTTTCACTTCTATACATGTATGTCTGATTGACTTTCCACTTGTCAGACACAAGTTAGACCAGCAGCCTGAGGTGGTCCCCAGTGAGTTCATAACGATGACGTCATCATGTGTCACGTTACGTAACATTAAATGAGCATTCCGTCGAATCGCTTTAACTTCGAAAGTACAAGTCCGATTGGATTAAAACTTGGTATGCACATTCACAGGGATTGTTTATAGATGAAAATTGAAGTGACGTCATCATCAAATGTCATATGACGTCCCTTAAAGGGGCATTTTATTCTTTTATAGGCCTATATATCTACAGAACTATAATGTTGGATTTGGTTTAACTTGACATGTACGTATTATAATGTGCTGTTATATAGATGACATTTACAGTGACGTCACTGATTGTTCGTCACATGCACAGAGTATTTCAAATATCCGAAACAGCTTGTGTTTGTCCACAAACACATTTCTAGTTTATTTATTTCTTATTCTATATCCAAAGTCTTCGCCTGTGTTACGTTCTTCAACTCAGTCGTGTTTATTGGGAAGGGGCGTAATCATACATGCCTCCACTACATCTAAAAATTAAATGGAAAGGAGTATGGCCGCCACCATGAATTCTTTTAACCACAGACTTTAATTCTTTGTGAAGTGATTTTATGGCTGAGAAAATAGCAAGGAAAACCGGTCAGTGCAAGCAACGTTCAGGGAAGAGTTTTGAAATTCCCGCTCTCTGGGAATTTCTAACCTAATGGGCCCGCGGGCGAGTTACGTGTTGACAAGCCTTACCCACCCACTGCCGCAGCCCTGCAGGAGAGGCTTAAACCAAAGTCCATCATTTGTAATTAGTGCATTTTGTTCGTTTGAAGCAACAAAAGTGTTCAAAATCTAATGAAGGATACTAAACAACTTACTTGATGAAGTTTCAGCTCAGCTTCAGCTTTATATTCCGAGAAAAACAGCATTCTAGGATCTTAATTTAAAATCAAAAGTTGCTAAATCATGTTTCGAATTGTTTTGAATTGCAGCTTTAAGCGATGTCGCGCACTGATCCGACGAATTATAGCAACCGCGCGCGCCTGTGCGTCTTTCCAATGCTTGTGCGCGCTGCGCCGAATAACAAAACAACAACTAATTTAAATTTTCCTACGGTGCTTCTTAAGAAGCACCGTTGGAAATGCCTTCTTTCGTTGATTTCTTCAAAATGAGAGCTTGCCAGAAAGGATAATTTCACAGGGAGTTTAGTCCCCTTAGGCCCTACTATCTTTCAACCAGTATGTTTTTCAACAATAATTACGCCAGTTACTTTTTTTGATAGCTGCAAATGATGGACTCGGGCTTTAATCGACTTCCTAGATGTGTATGATATACTGAAAAAGAAAAACAAACTTAACTCATACACTCTGGGCAGCTCACTTGTGTGCCTACACTGGTATACACACCTGTGAAAAAAGGCTCAAATTAACGGAACTCTTCTCTGCATGCTAGTCGGAAGGGGAAAAAAATGTCTTCAAAAATGCATCAGCTCACAGAGCCTCCCGTCCTCGTAATTGTTTGCATCCCACGAAATGTAAAGAAATGAGGAAAGGCCCTGATGGTGCTGATATAGCGAGTCCTACTTTCCCTCTCCTTTATAAACTCTGATTCACGGCAGGAACTCTCTTGGAATAATCTTGGAATCATTTTAGAACAAATTAATATCGACGATGTATCAGTCCCTGAACGTTGCTTCACTGACCGGTTTTCCTTGCTATTTTCTCAGCCATAAAATCACTTCTCAAAGAATTAAATTCTGTGCTTAATAAGAATTCTTGGTGGCGGCCATTCTCTTTCCCATTTTTTTTTTGATGTAGTAGCGGCATGTATGATTACGCCCATTCCCAATAAACCCGTGGCGCTTTTGCTTTCGCCGTGTCGCTTTTGCGCTTGCCGCGGCGCTTTTGCGCTTGCCGCGGCGCTTTTGCTTTTGCTGCGGCGCTAAGTTTGCGCTTGCCGCGGCGCTTTTGCGCTTTCGAGGGCGCTTTTGCGCTTGCCGTGGCGTTTTTGCGCTTGCCGTGGCGCTTTTGCTTTTGCCGCGGCGCTTTTGCGCTTGCCGTGGCGCTTTTGCGCTTGCCGTGGTGCATTTGCTTTTGCCGTGGCGCTTTTGCGCTTGCCGCGGCGCTTTTGCGCTTGCCGTGACAGTTGTGGGCCACCGTATATATTCAAATGAGAATAGGCGATGATCGTGTATGGCTTCTACAAGCTTTACATACATGCATAACGATGCACCATTCAGTAATCTATGTACGACGAATGTATATTACGAAAAAACGATGTCACGCGGTATGTAAAAACATTTCAGGGGGAATGTTAATGTGTATACATGTACTCACTGACAGACAGGATAGCAAAGAGCTGGATGGCTTCGTTTGGAGGTGCGCAGTCACCAGGGATGACGTAATCGGATATATAGGTACCAAGAGTGATTGAAACCAGGGCAGCGCTAGCTGGCTTCAGGATAACTACGTAAGCCCAAGACACCACAAATCCAGCTAGGTCACCGTAGGCGTGCAAGATGTACTGATAAGTACCACCAGCTCGAGGGAGGACTGTTCCCAGCTCAACGTAGCACAAGGCACCTGGTATCAGAAAAGATAAAAAAAGGATTGTTTGATGGTATAGTTTTAAACCCTTTCAACGGATAGAAGTACGTGATCGTTAGTTGTGCGAATGCAAAGGCCGTAAATTCGGGGGTGGGGTGGGGAGGATATATCAACCCCCGCACTTTTTGACCATGGGGATGGGTCATTAGATCATGCCCCCCCCCCCGATGTTTTTGTTGAGAAACCAAACTATAGATTTGGTGGGTTTCTGTCAGCTTACCAACAGTCCAAGTGTTTAAAATAGTTTTGATAAACGGAGACCATACAGCAAAGAAGCTTCAAATGCACCGTTTTCATGAAAGGTTGTAAGCACACAACTTTGAATAAGATGTACATCTGTATCTTGAATAGCGCCCCCCAGTGTCATGTGGTTGCCAGCCCCCCCCACCCCCCACCCCCACCCCCCACCACACACACACAACCACAAACACTCACACCCATCCGCTTTCGAATTTTCACGGCCGCGCAATTTTAGGATTTTTGGTCACATCCCTCTTTTTTGGATCGGTTTCCGGAGACAATAACAATACTCCTGAGTTGCTCAACACGATAGTGTAAACGTTTGTAGAATCGTGGAGCATTGGGGCGGTTATCGATTGGTATGGGTGTACGTGTAAAGCGCACATTTGGCTCATTCTTCGTTAAAGTGTTCAAGTTGGAACTAGGACTTTACAAAATATCAACTACAATGAATATATGAAATCTGCTCAAAATCGTAAAGTTTAATAGCTCCAGGACATAGAACAAAACAGTCCTGAGTTTTAACTAACCATATTTTTTGACATAAATACTTGAAATTAAACCTTCTAAAACGTGTTTTAACAACTTAACAGATACGTTACCACTATTGTATTTATAGAAAAGTTGTCTTTGAAACAAAACTGGGGAGGCTTAAGTCAATATGAATTTCGGAGCTACACATTGTGAAAGACAGACTAAAAATAGAGGGATTTGAGTGACAGTATTTGACAGGTACATTGGAAAACATCGTGTTTTTTTCTAGATTGTGAAAACAAGGCACATAAATTGTCTGTCTCGATTTGATATGCATATAATTTTAGTTGCTACATCTATCACTTTGCATGTTGCAATTTCGCATTTATTTGCCATAAACTAATAATTAGTCATTATCATTTCGCTGAACAGGTAATTATACAAATAATTTCCATAAGATTGAGATAGTGAGATCCACAATGCCAAGCTGCTTTGGTAACATCTGGCAGGTCAGATTTATAATTAAAACACCATATACGGGATGACGCAGTAAGCAGCGCTTACACAAAACTTTATAGCAGCTGCTGTAATCAATCATATTATACATGTAATGATGTTATTTAAAACGCCACGCGCTTCATACACCAAAGTTGTTGTCAAAATATAAAAATGTGTACAAACGAACAAAGTCAGAACCCGACAATTAAAAAACAGTCAATAAAGGTCGAGTTTCAGTGTTTCACACAGCAGAAATGAACACAATTTCGTCACTCTACGTCATAATGTGCATTTTATGAACACATGGAATAAAACAAAGGCGATTTTTACCAAATGTTTTTTTATTTTTTGGGGAAAATAAATACTTGAAGAGAAGTCTTCTTAACGTCGTGTAACGATCTACCAGATACGTTACCGCAAGTCCACTTCAATAAATTCATGTCTTTAAATAAGATTCTGTAGATATTTTAAGTAGATGTGAATTTCATTGGTACACATTGTGACAGACAGACTGAAATAAAAGGTTTCGTTGATTCTGTTTGTCAACAAAAAAAATCATCATTAATTGTTAAAAAAAACAAAGAATTATAATTCAAGGACCATAATGCAGGGCGGATCCAGGATTTTTTTGCAGGGGGGGGGGGGGTCGGCCTTTCAGATACATTTTTTGTATCCCAATGTTGCGATTTTTTCGGGGGGGGGTCAGAGCATGACGGGGGGATCGAGACCGTGGGTTTGGATCCGCGCCTGCGTTTAGAATATCATCTTGTTCTATTATTAAGGTTATAATTTTTTATTTTATTTTATTTCATTTTTGGGCGGTCAGAGCAGGGGAATATAAATTATACGGAATAATCATGTGACGTTTTGTTCGCGTGATATGTTTTGCGCATGCATATCACTGTTAATGACTTTACTAAAATGCAACTAGTGCACCCCCTGGCAAACAATCCTGATCAACTATGACCAAATGATTTAGAATTGAATTCAGGCATACAGGATGGAGGTCAGAATTTCCATTTCCGAAGTGTGTTGAGCTGCCCCACCTCCCACCCCTACGTTCACCCCAACCAACCCACCTACACTACCACCCGAACCCTCGAAACCATCATTTAAGTGTCCCTGTTGCTTAGAGATAATGTCTGAACAATACATTTAATTGTATCATCTTAGCTACGCTCGCAAATTAAAGATTGATATTTGAACAGATACGTTACCGAGCTGATCAGATACGTTACCAGGCTGATCAGATACGTTACCATAATAAACTAAGATATTCTATGTAAACCAACAATGGTTTCATGTTATCAAGTTTTTGTGCAATTACAACCCCTCACTTCCTAAAATGTTTATCTACAGATTCTACAAGTTACATATTTTACCAATAAAAAAACATTGTATGATGCTACTCTAAACTTTAAGAATATTCGACAGAAATGCAGCACAACATTACAATCATTCTCGGCAAGCATGCGCTCTATGAATCACACTTGTGTTCAGAAACTTTAAAACGTGTAGACAGTGTGGGAATCGATGACGTAGCCCATGTTTGTTGACGTCAGCATAACATTTGCATGATGAATTCATAATCAGTAACGTATCTGGTGTAACGTATCTGGTGTAACGTATCTGGCACGCTCATGTTGAAATAGGCTTCCCTTGACAAACTGTGTGACCTTAACTACTTCGTCCGGCACTTGATCAGTCATCACCCAACACACTGTTGACTGGTATGGTGTTCGAGGTCAGCTTCCTTCACGTGTCTCGAAAGGAAAGGCAAAAATAGGTAACGTATCTGGCGCTACACATACGTAACACATGGATTGTTTTCGTTGACAGTTCTACAAAATATTCAAATTCAACACTTATTAGATTCATGCCATATGTACAATATATTACCCAGTTTGGTCTAGTCTGTGAGCAACTTCAATGTGCATATCCCTGAAATTTTAAGTCTGTCTTATCGTTTCAAAAAATAGTAACGTATCTGGTTATGAAATTGGCGACATGCGCTCTGAAGGCGCTCAAGTAAAATTAATGAGCCAATCTTTTTCGATTTGTCATTGTATATTTAGGGCATACTATGGACTAATAATATAAAAGGGTAATCATTAATATGCACAGATGGAAGACGAATGGGAGACTTTCAAAAAAGGCACCTTGAATGGCGACATGAGAAAACCGCAACAAATACCACCTCACCGTCACAATTCTAAGATTTTCTTGATTTTTGTTACATTCTTACTACATGGGTTTATGAAACAAAACTTAGTCTCGAAGAAAATTAAAATTAATCATTATCGAACACACTCCATACTTCTTAGAAACACGAGCGACACAAAAATGGCACATTTGAACACTTTAGCGGAGAATGGCCCATTTACAGTCAATGAAGAGGATTTAAAATGAAAGTATAAAATGTTTAAACTCTCACCCAAAAAGGAAACACCACCACATACAATCCAGATGATGAGACTCATTCCTACGCTGTTGGCTCCTCGTAAGATCCCCTGTGGTGAGATGAAGATCCCTGAACCAATCATTGCACTGACGATGATTGCTACCGCTCGGATCAAACCCATCTCCCTTTTCAACTGGACAGTATCTGCAACTTCCTCATCTTTACTCATTGGATCTGATGACGGCCGTCGTTCAAGAGGGGCGGCATCTTTCCCCTTCGTGTGCCTCCGGCCCTATTCGAAGATGCGAAATACACTTCAGAAAGGTGCAAGATAGAATGCATGCTTAAGTTAACCGGTCACGTCTTCGGTCTATCCATGACTTTCAATTTCATTACATAACAAGTCAGGTGTGTTTACAAACACAAATGCCCCGCAACCGTGACAGTTCCCATGACATAACACCACTCTTTTAACATCAACTTACATGTACCTTAGTCACATGGAACGTTCATTGACAGCATTAGTGTTTTCTGTATGTTTATATGATTTAAACCCTTTGATCTTAGAATAAATACAAGACTTCTATTGTTTTAACCACTGTCACCTTGACCCTTGACCTTTCGACCCCCAATGCAATAGGATTCTTCGGATTACCAAGGACAATCCACAAACCAAATTTGAAGTTCACATGTAGAGTATTTCTCAAGTTATCGCGCTGACAACATTTCTTTGTTTTAGCCACTGTGACCTTGACCCTTATCTTTCGGCCCAAAATGCAATAGGCTTCTTAGGATTGCCAAGGACAATCCACAAACCAAATTTGAAGTTCATATGTTAATTATTTCTCAAGTTATCGCGCTGACAAAATGTCTTTTGTTTTAGCAACTGCGACCTTGACCCTTGACTTTTTCGGCCCCAAATGCAGTAGGCTTCTTAGGATTGCCAAGGTCAATTAACAAACCAAATTTGAAGTTGACCTGTAAAGTATTTCTCAAGTTATCGCGCTCACAAGATTTCTATTCTTTTAGCTACTGTGACCTTGACCCTTGACCTTTCGGCCCCAGATACAAAAGGCTTCTTAGGAATACCAAGAACAATATACAAACCAAATTTGAAGTTCATATGTAAAGTGTTTCTCAAGTTATCGCGCTGACAAAATTTCTTTTGTGTCAGCCACTGTGACCTTGACCCTTGACCTTTCGCTCCAAATGCAATAGGCTTCTTAGGATTGCCAAGGACAATCCACAAACCAAATTTGAAGTTCACATGTAAAGTATTTCTTGAGTTATCCCACTGTGACCTTGACCCTTGACCTTTTAGCCCCAAATGCAATAGGCTTCTTAGGATTGCCAAGGACAATCCACAAACCAAATTTGAAGTTCACATGTAAAGTATTTCTTGAGTTATCCCACTGTGACCTTGACCCTTGACTTTTCAGCCCCAAATGCAATAGGCTTCTTAGGATTGCCAAGGACAATCCACAAACCAAATTTGAAGTTCACATGTAGAGTATTTCTCAAGTTATCGTGCTGACAACATTTCTTTGTTTTAGCCACTGTGACCTTGACCCTTAACCTCTCGGCCCAAAATGCAATAGGCTTCTTAGGATTGCCAAGGACAATCCACAAACCAAATTTGAAGTTCATATGTTAATTATTTCTCAAGTTATCGCGCTGACAAGATTTATCCGGACACACACACACACACCCACGCACACACGCTTACATAGGCATAGAAGTGGGGTACTTCTTTTGTTCTCGTGTACGAAAATTTTGCAACGTCGCACACTTATATCAAAATGCTCTTATTTTAACCATATGATAGTTAATTTCCTGGGCTGAAATTCGGACTCAATATCTCTTTTCTAAAACTCTTCCATTTGCGACAGATCAACCCACCTTGGAAAAAAAGAAAAAAGAAAAAAGAAAAACCAACACAATGGCACACATGGTACATTCGCGATTAACATGCCAACGGGTATTAATGCCCGTTATCACGCGTTCAACCAATTATTAAGGCAAGTCTGCTCAGTAAATTTTGTACGAGAGCTCAGAACAATACTATGGTCGTTAATCCTTGTGTGTAGGATCCGGGTTCAAATTACCATTACACAGACATTTTGATGTTGGCGGGAAAAATCTTTGAACATCAATTTCTCCCGTTTTGAAGACGGTGTTCTCGAGACACCTTCAGAGTTTGTTTCCCGTATAATGATCCAACCATGTGCTAAAAATCGTTTCCATTTGTTCAGTATTTTTCATTACAATTTTAAAAATAGGCTTTGAGTACGTCAATTTGTAATATATATTAATATTTCAAGCCTCACGAATATTAATAAGGTGCTATCCATATGGAGTGCAGTTACAATGTGTACGGCCCCCTTCTTCACGAGTTAATTATTCATCAATAAAATGTTAACCTTTTTGGATGGTTTCGATTGTTCGATACCGAGGCCCACGCGAAGTCACGCAGAGTCACGCTAATAACGCGCACGTCATGCGTCAACGCAAACCGGCCGTGGTAGAGCGTACCGGTTGACCATATGTTTTGCTTTGCTGGGCGAAAATCCGAGCAACAGCTGCAACAGATTAATTAAGCTTAAATTCGGAATATTCTGAGAAAAATATTAGTGTTCAACTACTCGTGAAATAACAACTTGTAAGGATTCATAGAAACTGAGATAAGTAAAAAGATTGGGAAACCTTTAAAACAATTTTCCCCACGACTTTTAGGTCAGCTAAACCGATGACGAGTATTGACGTTTCTGCATCGTGAAAATCCATCACCGATTGCGATAGTCCAACATCGATTGCAAAAGCCTATCACGGATCGTGAAAGTCCATTGCCGTTTGTGAAAGTTGATCGCCGTTCGTGAAAGTGCATGATTACAACAGATGCATTACCGATTGTGAAAGTGCACCACCGATTCGATGATGTCATTAAGTGCCTCTTTGGCGTTCCATACGACCCGGAGGGATCGCGATTCGTCGTGCCCGACGCTCACCGATGCTAAATAGTGAGTCAGTCGCCGCGGCGAGATAGTAAGTCGCCGCTGCGAGATGTGGAGTCGCTGCGGCGAGATATTTAAAGGAAGATACAACATTTGCAAACATCAAAAAACGAAATGATCATATTACATGTATCACGAAATATCTTACTGGATTGTTAAAGAATGATTCTAAAGAATCCTGTAAAATTGTGGCTCCTGGTGTGCTGACATTTTCAAGAAAAACCTGTATTTTTCCAACGCTGGTCGGCCGACCAGCGTTGGAAAAAACTGGCTTTTTTCAAAAAGTGCTCCTAATTTTTCATATTTAGTTCGTCTGCATTTTCTTTGCAATTGATTACACACCTGTCAAGACTACAAGCCTGCTAGGCTGATTCTCTGATCTTAAAAATCCCCAAAGTCTATAAATTGCGCTGTTTCATCTTAAGTGGGGTCAGGGAACCAAACTACAAAAATATGATTGGTTTTCTTGGTTTCTCCAGCATCTACGAACCCAAAACGTGAAATAAGTCAGTGTAACAATATTTGCTATAAGATACTAATACTCCAAATCCATTTGTTTCTGAAACTTTCAGCAAAAGCAAATGTTGTACATTTCCTTTAAGTCGCCGCGGCGAGATAGTTAGTCGAATTTTGTATTTATCGTGGCCCTTCTACGCTTCCATAGCTTGTATGTTTGTTTAGGGAAAAGATAAAATAATGTTCTACAGTTATAGTGACCATATTCCCCAAAAACCTAATTCAATATAAATTATTTTCCATTCCTTCCATTCGTCTTTTGCCATGCCCTCCTCTTATAGAAAGAACACAATTTTCAATGAAGGCACTTGCTATAGAAAACAATCAAACAGATAACGGTCAGATTGATTGATAGGTCAGTAAAATTTAGCCGGTTACCATGGGCGTCGACAGGATTTGTTTTGTTTTTTAAGGGGTAAAATCACTCGAAAGGTTGAGGAGGACGCTTGGAAACGCTGTTTATAAACGTTTATATACGAATTTATGTGGAAAAAAACGTTTTATGATCCTTTCGGCAGTTCCTAATGCTAAACATTCATAAAAATTAACATTCGTTAATACCTAAGACAGTTTACCCATTCCTATTGATCGAGAGCCCGTCACGTGGCCAATTTTATAAGATTAAAAGAAATCTGCAATAATGTTTGAAAAGCCTACGTATCGATTATATGAAATGCCTTTGTGTGTACGTCAGAGAAAGGGAGAAAAGATGGCTATACCAAGGAATACAAGACAATGGGGTGAACGTCCCCTTCCGTCAATAGAAGATGTAATCCGAGTTTACAATATCGCATGTTTTGGTCACGTGACGCCAACTTTCTCCTGACAAATGCAAACCGATCTGTTTATCACTTGAATTATTGGTTTATGAAATGTTTAAGTTATGCTTTTCAGTGTACTATGATAAACAAAACGAGGCAGGGAAGTCGGGCTGCAGCGGCGTGACTAGGGTTAAGCTGCTAGGGCACTTTGGGTGCATCCATTTTTCAAGGGGGCACTGAGGGCAACGTACATTTTGTTTGTGTGCAATTCAAGTTTTTTAAATGGAGGGGGGGATGGAGTTACAGTGTGTATTAAAATGGCGGCGCCCATGCCACAAGTTCGTGTGAAGACTCGGTGAGTTCGTTCCATTATTTACTGGTTTGAAAGGACCCATAAACACAACAGAGGGGGGCACCCTTGAAGACACTTCGCTGGGCACGTACCTCCGCTGGGGGGGGGGGGGGGGGGGGGGGTCACATGCCCCCGTGGTCCCCTCCCCCGTCTCCCCCCCCCCCCCGTAGTTACGCCCCTGCGCGGCTGTTTTGCCCGGCGGTGTGCGCATGCACACCGTTTGCTTAATATGCGATTCTACAATTTAGAAAAATTGTTGAGGACAGTGTCATCTTTGCAATCGTGTGGAACATCCCTACAATAAGCAAACTAGAACAAAAGCTACCTCAAGCCAGTTAATTGCTTTACATTGAGCCCTTGTTTGGGATGCTTAGCGAGGGCCTTTGTTGGCAATTCGTTCAATGCTCGAGGTTCGGTCGAAACTCCAAGTCACAGAAAGTTGAGTTACGAATGCAGCATTTCATTGGCCCGTCATTGTTATATGAGCCCTCTTAATCCGCTTCATTTTGTGGGTTATCTAAAACGAAAGAGCACTACATGTATTTCGACATTGGTCGTCAGAAAATCGGAGTGACAGTTCCCCACGCACTGAATATCATATTTTTGACCGGAGGTCATTAAATTTGCTGGAGCCTGTTAGCTTATACGAGAG